TCAAGGTCTACACTGTCCTGTATGGAGTTTCAGGTCAGGGTCTACACTGCCAAGTATGGTGTTCCAGGTCACGGTCTCAACTGTCCTGTATGGAGTTCCAGGTCAGGGTCTACACTGCCCTGTATGGTGTCCCAGGTCACGGTCTGCACCGTCCTGCATGGCGTTCCAGGTCACGGTCTACACTGTCCTGTATCGTGTTTCAGGTCAGAGTCTACACTGTCCTGTATGGTGTTCTAGCTCAAGGTCTACACTGTCCTCTATGGTGTTCCAGGTCACGGTCTACACTGTCCTTGTATGGTGTTCTGGATCAAGGTCTATACTGTCCTGTATGGTGTTCGAGGTCAGGATCTACACTGTCCTGTATGGTGTTCGAGGTCACGGTCTACACTGTCCTGTATGGTGTTCCAGGTCAAGGTCTACTCTGTCCAGTATGGTGTTCCAGGTCAAGGTCTACACTGTCCTGTATGGTGTCCCAGGTCAGGTTCTACACTGTCCAGTATGGTGTTCTAGATCAAGGTCTACACTGTCCTGTATGGTGTTCCAGGTCAGGATATGCACTGTCCTGTATGGTGTTCCAGGTCAGGATCTACTCTGTCCTGTGTGGTGTTCCAGGTCAAGGTCTACACTGTCCTCTGTGGTGTTCCAGGTCACGGTCTACACTGTCCTGAATGGTGTTCCAGGTCACGGTCTACACTGTCATGTATGGTGTTCCAGGTCAGGATCTACACTGTCCTGTATTGTGTTCCAGGTCACGGATTACACTGTCCTGTATGGTGTTCTAGTTCAAGGTCTACACTGTCCTGTATGGTGTTCCAGGTCAGGATCTACACTGTCCTGTATGGTGTTCCAGGTCAGGATCTACACTGTCTTGTATGGTGTTCCAGGTCAGGATCTACTCTGTCATGTATGGTGTTCGAGGTCAGGATCTAAACAGTCCTGTATGATATTCCAGGTCAAGGTCTACACTGTCCTCTATGGTGTTTCAGGTCAAGGTCTACACTGTCCTCTATGGTGTCCCAGGTCAGGTTCTACAGTGTCCTGTATGGTGTTCTAGATCAAGGTCTACACTGTCCTGTATGGTGTTCCAGGTCAGGATCTACACTGTCCTGTATAGTGTTCCAGGTCAGGATCTACAATGTCCTGTATGGTGTTCCAGGTCAAGGTTTACACTGTCCTGTATGGTGTTCCAGGTCACGGCGTACATTGTCCTGTATGGTGTTCACGACACGGTTTACACTGTCCTGTATGGTGTTCCAGGTCACGGCCTGCACTGTCCTGTATGGTGTTCCAGGTAACGACCTGCACTGTCCTGTGTGTTGTTCCAGGTCACGGAATGCACTGTCATGTATGGTGTTCCAGGTCACAGTCTACACTGTCCTGTATGGTGTTCCAGGTCACGGTCTACAGTGTCCTGTATGGTGTTCCAGGTAACGACCTGCACTGTCCTGTGTGTTGTTCCAGGTCACGGAATGCAGACTGCGACCTGGAACATCATACAGGACTGTGTAGATCCTGACCTCGAACACCATACAGGACAGTGTAGACCGTGACCTGGAACACCACACAGGACATTGTAGATCCTGACCTAGAACACCATACAGGACAGTGTAGACCTTGATCTAGAACACCATACAGGACAGTGTAGACCGTGACCTGGAACACCATACAGGACAGTGTAGACCGTGACCTAGAACACCATAAATGACAGTGTAGATCCTGACCTGGCGCACCATACAGGACAGTGTAGACCGTGACCTGGAACACCATACATGACAGTGTAGACCTGATCTAGAACACCATACAGGACAGTGTAAACCCTGACCTGGAACACCCTACAGGAGAGTGTAGACCCTGACCTGGAACACCATACAGGACAGTGCAGGCCGTGACCTGGAACAACATACAGGACAGTGCAGGCCGTGACCTGGAACACCACACAGGACAGCGCAGGTCGTGACCTGGAAAACCATACAGGACAGTGTAGATCCTGACCTGGCACACCATACAGGACAGTGTAGACCGTGATATGGAACACCATACAGGGCAGTGTAAACCCAGACCTGGAACACCATTCAGGACAATGTAGACCTTGACCAAGAACACTATACAGGACAATGTAGACCTTGATCTAGAACACCATTCAGAACAGTGTAGACCCTGACCTGGAACACCATACAGGACAGTGTAGACCGTGACCTGGAACACCATACAGGACAGTGCAGACCGTGACCAGGAACACCATACAGGACAGTATAGATCTTGACCTGTAACATCATACAGGACAGTTCAGACCGTGACCAGTAACACCATACAGGGCAGTGTAGACCCTGACCTGGAACTCCTTACAGGACAGTGTTGACCTTCACCTGGAGCACAATACAGGACTGTGTAGATCCTGACCTGGAACACCATACATGACAGTGTAGATCCTGATCTGGAACACCATACAGGACAGTGTAGACCGTGACCTGGAACACCATACAGGACAGTGTAGATCCTGACCTCGAACACCATACAGGACAGTGTAGACCGTGACCTGGAACAACATACAGGACAGTGCAGGCCGTGACCTGGAAAACCATACAGGACAGTGAAGGCCCAGATCAAGGTCTACACTGTCCTGTATGGTGTTCCGGGTCACGGCCTGCACTGTCCTGTGTGTTGTTCCAGGTCACGGTCGGCACTGTCCTGTATGATGTTCAAGGTCACAGTCTACACTGTCCTGTATGGTGTTCCAGGTCACGTTCTACACTGTCCTGCATGGTGTTCCAGGTCACGGCTTGCACTGTCCTGTATGGTGTTCCAGTTCTGGGCCTTCACTGTCCAGTATGGTGTTCCAGGTCACGGTCTGAACTGTCCTGTATGAAGTTTCAGGTCAGGGTCTACACTGCCCTGAATGGTGTTCTAGATCAAGGTCTACATTGTCCTGTATGGTGTTCTTGGTCAAGGTCTACAATGTCCTGTATGGTGTTCCAGGTCTGGAACAACACACAGGACAGTGCATTCCGTGACATGGAACACCATACAGGACAGTGTAGACCGTGTCGTCGAACACCATACAGGACAATGTACACCATGACCTGGATCACCATACAGGACAATGCATGCCGTGACCTGGAACACCATACAGGACAGTGTAGATCCTGACCTGGAACACCATACAGGACAGTGTTGACCGTGACCTGGAACACCATACAGGACAGTGTAAACCTTGACCTGGAACACCATACAGGACAGTGTAGATTCTGACCTGGAACACTATACAGGACAGTGTAGATCCTGATTCTGAACACATACAGGATGACAGTGTAGAATCTAGAACACCTACAGGACGGGAATGACCTGGGACACCGACACAGGACAGTGTAGACCTTGACCTGGAACATTATATAGGACAGTAGACCGTGACCTGGAACACCATACAGGACAGTGTAGACCGTGACCTGGAACACCATACATGGCAGTGTAAACCGGGACCTTGAATATCATACAGGACTGTGTAGATCCTGATCTCGAACACTATACAGGACTGTATAGACCTTGATCTAGAACACCATACAGGACAGTGTAGACCGTGACCTCGAACACCATAGAAGACAGTGTAGACCGTGACCTGGAACACCGTTCATGACAGTGTAGTCCTTGACCTGGAACACCATACAGGGCAGTGTAGACCGTGAATTAGAACACCATACAGGACAGTGTAGAACCTGACCTGGGACACCATACAGGACTGGACCTGGAACACCATACAGGACAGTGTAGACTTTGACCTGGAACACTATACAGGACAGTGTAGACTGTAACCTGGATCTACACTGTCATGTATGGTGTTCGAGGTCAGGATCTCCACAGTCCTGTATGATATTCCAGGTCACGGTCTACACTGTCCTGTATGGTGTTCCAGGTCACAGTCTACACTGTCCTGCATGGTGTTCCAGGTCACGGCCTGCACTGTCCTGTATGGTGTTCGAGGTCTGGGTCTACAGTGTCCTGTATGGTGTTCCAGGTCACGGTCTACACAGTCCTGTATGGTGTTCCAGGTCACGGCCTGCACTGTCCTGTATGGTGTTCCAGGGCAGGGTCTGCACTCTCCTGTATGGTGTTCCAGGTCAGGGTTTACACTGTCCTGTATGGTGTTCTAGATCAGGGTCTACACTGTCCTGTATGGTGTTCCAGGTCAGGATCTACACTGTCCTGTGTGGTGTTCCAGGTCAAGGTCTACACTGTCCTGTATGGTGTTCCAGGTCACGGTCTACACTGTCCTGTACGGTGTTCCATGTCAGGGTCTACACTGTCCTGTATGGTGTTCTAAGTCAAGGTCTACACTGTCCTGAATGGTGTTCCAGGTCAAGGTCTACACTGTCCTCTATGGTGTTCCACGTCAAGGTCTACACTGTCCTGTATGGTTTTCCAGGTCAAAGTCTACACGGTCCTGTATTGTGTTCCAGGTCAAGGTCTACACTGTCCTGTATGGTGTTCCAGGTCACGGCCTACACTGCCCTGTATGGTGTACCAGGTCAAGGTCTTCGCTGTCCTGTATGGTGTTCTAGATCAAGGTCTACACTGTCCTGTATGGTGTTCCAAGTCACGGCCTACACTGTCCTGTATGGTGTTCCAGGTCAAGGTCTACACTGTCCTGCATGGTGTTCCTGGTCTGGGTCTACACTGTCCTGTATGGTGTTCCAAGTCACGGCCTGCACTGTCCTGTATGGTGTTCCAGGTCACGGTCTACACTGTCCTGTATGGTGTTCCAGGTCACGGCCTGCACTGTCCTGTATGGTGTTCCAGGTCTGGGTCTACACTGCACTGTATGGTGTTCTAAATCAAGGTCTACACTCTCCTGTATGGTGTTCCAAGTCACGGCCTGCACTGTCCTGTATGGTGTTCCAGGTCTGGGTCTACACTGTCCTGTATGGTGTTCTAAATCAAGGTCTACACTGTCCTGTATGGTGTTCCAGGTCACAGTCTACACTGTCCTGTATGGTGTTCCAGGTCACGGCCTGCACTGTCCTGTATGGTGTTCCAGGTCACGGTCTACACTGCCCTGTATGGTGTTTCAGGTCAAGGTCTACACTATAAGTTTCTCTCGAGTGTGATACGGTCTGATGTACGCCTCTTTGTAGCAGTGTTACCCGAGCCGTAAAGACTGTATTACCCGAGGGAGAAGCGTACAACGAATTTATCTTACCGCCATGTTAAATGTACAAGATATCATTTTATCATATTTAGAAGAGTTGTAGAGGAACCTGTTGGGCGTCAGTTGTTGGGATAAGGAAATAGATTTTCAGTACCGGCCAGTGACAGACAAACACAGTCACAAAGCATCAAGTTTTTTGTAAATAAGGACAAAGGCAGCAGATCAGTAGCAATGGACTCCTACATCAGTTGACAACGTGATTACAACAAACACCATTGTTCATTGGAATACCACAAGACGGAAAACTGAAAGTGGATGTGAAGACGTCGTTATAGTCAGGGGACTTTTTCCAAAGGGAAGGTCTGTGCTATAAGAAATGCAGCACTCACTAGACACGAACTCAGTGGTTGAGGAGCCATATTCATGCATGGGTACAAAGCGCTTCAATCCCTACTCACTTACTTAGTAACACTCCCGTTGTGCTTGTTATTGCTACGTTTAGATATCCAACACTTTGAAACTTCATTGTGTGAGTGAATGTGGATTCAACGCCATGGAAATATTTCAGTTTAATCACATGGTGCCACCTTTATGCTCAATGGCTGATAGTGGGGCCTACACACCCATGATCAAGGTCGAGGCGAATCTAAGATTCGAACCCATTATCAGCAGATCCTTTCAGTTTTACTTTGAACAATTTTTTAGATTACTTTTTTACACTGCTTTAACAATACTGCGATAATGTCCTCGCGAGAGACCGTGAGGAAGACCGGTACAACCTTAGACCATCCACATGTCCAGACTTTACCTACGGGGCTCTCTGCGGAGACACGTTATCAGATAGCCGACATCAATTCATGTAGTCTGGTAGTTGTTTCCTGGTGACCGCCTCCGTGGTGTAGTGGTTAGAGCGTCCACCCATTAATGGGTAAAACAAGGACTGGTCGCCTCGGAGTCAGTGTAATGTGTCTGAGTGGGGTATTCATGTTTCACTGCGGCATGGTATCTCAGTGGGCTAGCACTATAAAACTAGCTTAAGTCTGGGCTAGTACAAGCAGCCACACATACGCATGCATGTCGTCACATGAGCTTAAATATTCTTAAACCCCATTTCACCTCATCTTGTTTCCTGATCTAAAGAACCCACCACGGGATTGTTTATCAGCGCTGAGGTGAATTTCCATACAGCTTAAGGCCCATATATTAGCTTCCCAAATCAACATGACTACTATTGTGGTTGCTGAAATTTTTATCGAATATGAAATGATATTTTATGGATTTTGTTGTTATTGTGAATATGTGCAATCAGTACTTTCTAATGACATACTTTTTCCATTTTGGAATTCACACAATCCAGTATGCACTAGTACATTTCTCGGGATCACTCTGACATCTTTTGTGTTCATTCAGGTGTGGTTACCATGCTAACACACAAGGGGCAGCCAAATATTATACAAGCCGCTGATGGTATTTGACTGGACTGCTAAACATAACACCACTGCTTACATTTGGCTGTGCTTAGAAACCGATTCGCTAATGATGTCAGTTGGCATTTAGGTTCAACCAGCCATATTATAATGTGTTTTCTATATATATGGTAATCGACTATAAGCGATAACGCTGGCACAAACAATTACAATCTCATAAGCATGTGACAATACCTAACTGCTTTTTTCAATCAATTCTGTACCGATACTGTCAGTCGGGGTAGTAGAGCTCTGTACTTGAGTTACATAATGAATTATATGAATATATTAACACGTAGTGCTATGGTGATGTTGCTGTAGCGTACCATGGTGAATATTAAATCAATAACGCAAGATAATACCTGTACGTGTAATGACTAAAATATCGATAGAACCTCCAAATGTAACTGATTTGTGAAGATGTTATAGCGCGTTACTATGGTTTACCCATTTGTAATCAATAAACGGGTCAAGAAATGTTTAGAACATAATCAATATATCGAAAAAAGTACCTGGACATAGAGAGGCAAGGCCAAATTTCCTCATGCTTCCTCATACCTCTTACACAAATACAGCGTCCATGGAGTCAATTTGGAAGATGATTTACCACCTCCCCTTTGATTCCTTTCTGAGTGGCCGAAACCACGGGCAGCTGTTATGTACCTTGAGTCGCTTTTCCGTGCTGTCAAAACTCCAGGATAGTCCCTTATCTGTACTAAATAAACCATGATCGTCCTTTATCCGTACTAAAACCCAGTATCGCCCTTTAGCAGTACTAAAACCCAGGATAGTTCTTTAGTCGAACTAAAACCCATGCTCGTTCTTTAGCCGAACTAAAACCCATGATCGTCCTTTAGCCGAACTAAAACCCAGGATAGTCCTTTAGCCGAACTTAAACCATGATCGTCCTTTAGCCGTACTAAAACCCATGATCGTTCTTTAGTCGAACTAAAACCCATGATCGTCCTTTAGCCGCACTAAAACCATGATCGTCCTTTAGCCGTACTAAAACCCATGATCGTTCTTTAGCTGTACTAAAACCCATGATAGTCCTTTAGCCGAACTAAAACCAAGGATAGTCCTTTAGCCGAACTAAAACCCAAGATGGTTCTTTAGCTGTACTAAAACCTATGATCGTTATTTAGCCGTACCTAAACACATGATAGTCCTTTAGCTGAACTAAACCCATGATCGTTCTTTAGCCGTACTAAATTCCAGGATCGTCCTTTAGTCGTACTAAAACCCAGGATCGTCCTTTAGCCAAACTAAAACCCATGATCGTTCTTTAGCCGAACTAAAAACCATGATCGTCCTTTAGCCGAACTAAAAACCATGATCGTCCTTTAGCCGAACTAAAAACCATGATCGTCCCATAAAACCTGTGATATTAGGTTGTAATGAATGATCCAACCTATGTTGTTTCCACGTTTGTCCGCTCTTAACAAAACCCTCTCTCTTAATTCATCCAATCAACAAACTGATTTAATTTTTCAAGCCAACTAGGATATGTTGCAGTGTATATAGAACCATATTTGTTTGAAAGCCCAACAAACTGTGCCTCTTGCTACCGTGATAATCACGTCATGACCGCTTCCAGTCTATTCCAGTTCCATCACGTCTAAATATATCAACTAAATACAAACAGTTATAACACTCCAGATTAACCAGCGTCCGATCAGATCTGAGAACACAAAGATTCAGCGCAGTACAGCATGGAAACAGAGCGCACTGTTCTGATAACTCCCCAGATACAATTTTCCCATCTAATGACATGACTTCCGGTTGATAAAATGCTTTAGCAGGTGATTGATGTCACTCACTGAAACATATACATGCCGTATGTAGTGCGAGTGTATAACGGATAGTCACATGCCCCACCAACTGGTCCCTGCGCTTACCAATAGTCCATACAAACAAAGATGCGTTGTTCACATATAAACTTCCTACAGCATGCTTCAGCCACCACGCCGATTTCAAACGGCATAAAAATCATTTCACTCGCTTAATACTCTCACTCATAAAAGTTTTACCTACCTGATAAAATCAGAATCACACAGAAAGCGTATCGTGCATATGGGGACATAGTCAATTTAGGATTCTACATTCCGATCCACAGATGGTTTGACTGAAAAATCTATATTCCGAAGGCGGATTCCATATTCCCAAAATCTCACGTGTTTGTCACTGGAGCTATACGAGTACTATTGGCATGTATGAGTTTATAATGTCGTTCAACTTTATAAACTTGGCACCGCAGTGGTTCTACAGGTGTATCAATGCCTGTATTGACAACGCCGGGCATCGGCTGTAGAGACATCAGTTCACGTAGCCAGGGCCATGTAATACATGGGGACTCTCCCCTGTGGTCGCACACTGGAATAGACTGCTGCTGTAAGGAAACCACTTGACGGGGGTGAACGTCCTCCCTTCTGTGCTGTGTAAGGCTAGGACGTGTTTACCACGTGAAGTAAACTATATCAATATGGGCAGTGCACCCTTCCATCAATAGTCAACAAGGTATGGCATCTATATTCAGAGGTCATGCCTGCTGATTTACTTTGGTTGGTTTTTAGTCAGATAGTTTCAAAAGTATTTATGTTTGTTTTACATAGACCTACACTGAGTCTACATAGACTTTACACTCTAATGTATCTGTACCCAGAATATATAGACCATATACAACTTGCTGTACTAGTCGGTTCTAAAGCCAAATTCTCAAAAGAATATATGCTCTGTAATATGTACTGCTATGACCACGATGCCCACATCATTTTACATTGTGAATCTGTAATGAGCCAAAGAAATATTTTTTATATGACCCTACTTGACCTACTGGACGTGGAATTATATGTATTAATTGAAATGCTTGATGATGAAGATGCCCTTGTACTGTTTTGTGGTGCAAAACTTCACATCCCTGGCCTTCATGAAACAGCATGGCAAACCATCATACTACATTTTTCGAACTATATCTATTCTTTAAAGATTCCTTGATGTATACTTTCTGAACTATCATTGTTGTAAATAACCGTGCTTTGTACATATCATATGTACATATATGTAACTGACTGAAAACGGTATCGGCATCTATAGCGAAACGTCGTCATTGTACAATAAAGAAGATGATCATCCATAAACACTTATTCCTATCGCTTACAACTTCTTGAATGCCTCTGAAAACAGTTCGTTAGTATGCAGCTATACCAACCTGTGAAAATTCTGTTGTGGAGCAATCCAACACGTGCTTGATAGCGTTAACACCAAACCACGGGTTACTGTGAGGTCAGATATTGCGGCCATCCAATACACTATTTGGTCATCGTTGAACAGGATGCATGTGTCCATATATGACATCTACATGCAGTTAATTTCGACCATCAACCAACTGTCCTTTTTTATTCCTTTAATGCACAGAGCTCTTACGGGTTTTACGGTTTGGAAGTCATTGACATACAATGGACCAAGTCATCTAACCTGATCTTTTCGATCCACATAATCGCCTGTTACGGACAAGTGAGTGGGTGAGTTTGGTTTTACGCCGCTTTTAGCAATATTCCTGCAACATCACGGCGGGGGACACCAGAAATGGGCTTCACACATTGTACCCATGGTCGTAAGCGTGATGAGCGGACGTTGTAATCATTAGGTTAGCCTACTGCCCCTGTTACAGGCAAGTAGTGCGGACTTATACTGTCACGCGGGGTGGTATAGTGTTTACAATATGTATGATGGGCGTATTATTTGCACGTCCACATTCACCAACAACCACCGTTAATATTAAATCTGCTTCATCGCACAAAGCAAGTCTAATTCGATAGCGGTTACACACACATTTAGACAACCATATTGCCCGCGAGGCTGCCGAACAATGTAAAGCAGTGCAGTTACGTCTCCTCCAGTGTCGCTGTCCGATTCAGTCGCATACTGTCTGTAACCTGCCCTCCATACACCACCACAGACAGGACATTGTTAACCAAGACGGTTCATGGCAAAACTCATGTGGCTTTACCACTGCAGGTCTTTTAACGGGAACCCTGAAAGGAATAGCTTAATACAGTTGCACGAAAAGAACTACGGGTGAATTCTTGCCATTGCTATCCTGGAAAACGGACTGATTAGCATTTTAGTTTGACAGCCTTCCTTTTGACACCCAGTTTTAGCGATTGGGTTCGCCTGAGAATGTTCGTTTGTGATGAGAGTCCGATATATGCTGTTTGTATGTTTTGACCTGACTGGAAAAATCAGTTTTAGATTTCGTTATCCCAAATTACAGACTTTTCCATCATCGATATGTTGTTATTACACTGACAGAATGTGAGTCAAACATGCCACCTGCGTGCCCGACAAACCGTTTGGGGAAATAACCATGTGAAATACAAGTTGTACTGTATCAAACTGACTGACCTATTTCCATGGGAGTTCTGTCAGTGTTGCGTCAAATGTTAGTGTTTATGTTCCTGTCAGACGATGACGATATAGCCAGAGTATGCCGACGTATGAAAAAAATGGCGAATACGCTGGTGTACGTCGAATAAGTTATGGGTAAGTTGTATAGGTTAAACGCACGCTAAAGCACGCTGGTATATGTCGTAGTACGGTTAGGCCATCGGAACATTTTGGGCATGCACAGACTCATACGGCCTGTACAAGTTGTAGGTAGGTGATGCGATCGTTGACACACGTTCACACACGTTACTTGTATGTTCCTTGTATGTTTAGCGTACCCCAAACCTATTTCTAACCTATGAACAACGTTGATGTGGATACTGTGACAATGATGTTGATACTGCAATGTCTGGTGCAGTTATGATTTGAATCGTCGAGCGACAGCCTTTTCATAACCTACGACACGTGATGGTCGGTGATAGGCTGCCGCGCGCTGTGCATAAGTTAGACAGTCGTTGGGCACCCGTTCCAGGAAATATTATCTACTAGTAGCAGGTCTTTGTTAGCAGCTGTTAGCTGCTACTAGCAGTTACAAGACAGCGCCAGCACCCACGAGGTGTATGTTGACTCCTTAGGAGGGGTCAACCCTCAGTAGCCGGGCTCTTCATGATTTCTGTGCACTTAAGACCATTGTAGGTTTAAGGGCACAACAAACGTCCCTCTTGGACCTTCTTACCAAGTCTTTCCACTTCTTCTTTATGTCTTCAACATCTAATTATAGCACGCTTACGCCCAGACGTATGGCCGTTACGCCAGGCTTAGCTACACCGTGACTAAGCCTCGGTCGTGCATGCCGCGTAAAAAGGACGGCGCCGCTAAGCCTGGCGTAACGCTTTACGCCTGACGTAAGCTACTCCTGAGAAGAAGAAGAAGAAGAAGAAGAAGAAGAAGAAGAAGAAGAAGAAGAACGAAAAGAAGAAGAAAATTATTTTTTTATTAGAGTGTCACACACTTCATAAAAGTGTCCGGCCAACATTGACCTACGGGACACTGAATACATATGGGACATGTTGTATATAAAAGTAATATATTAAAAGGTTAATACAGTAAAATATCATAAAAGGTAAAAGATGCATAAAATATAGTAGACCCAATGAGATAATATTAAGTGGCTCATTTGTGAACATTCCTATGGGAAAACATGGAAAAAACCGTTGCGGCTATGAAATTTATATGGCATTCGTTGGATAATATGTAAATAGCTTTATCAACTGAGGATAAGGCATTGAAGGACCTATCATTTATGTCTAGTTTATTAAACAGCTCATATCTAATTACAGTATAAAAAATACATGAGATATGCATACAGAGGACGCCATGTAACTACCATGTAGCACAAAAAGAATGTGCTTACACTTTGAAATACAATAAAAGCATTTATAAGAGATATATTGAGGTTCTAGTAAAATGTTTCTCTATTCAATTGGTGACAGTCGTCAGAACGCAATGTTCTTCGCGGAAAATCATTTTATCCAATCACACGATGATTGGTTTATTGTAACAATGTTTTTAGAAGTGTCAAAAAATGTTTAGATTTAGTTCTTGTGTCAGACCAAACACTTACACGGTATTGCCAAGTTGTTAAAATCTATTCGCATCAAAATGCAAGTATTTGAACAAATTAACGTTTAGGAAACTACAGTTAATATAGATAGCAAATGAGATTAAATTATCAGTCATTTAGTCTCCTTCGGAAAGCATGAGTAAAATTTTTAAATGTGAGAACTGTAAAACCATTGAATCTGGTTTTGGGTAAAATTGCAGTCAAAAACAGAACAGAGGTTCCATCTGCTAGTTCAATAGAGAGCCAGATGAATTCCAATAACTGTTCTTCGTGCTCTGTCGAGGAAGAAGGCGCGACTTGTAAGCCTTCACTGGCATCAGATTCACCGAAACTATCTTAGAGTTTCTCTGGTACTGATATTGGCTTGTACACAGAAAGTGTACTAAAATCAGAACAAATTCATTCTACTCTTCTGAATCATTTACATTGAACAGATGGCTGAGATATTCTCCTTCAAAAGATGGCGTCATTTGCTTACCATGTGCTCCTTTTGCCAATGACAATCAAAAAGGTGCATTTGTTACATTTGTACTAGCGACTAATTCAGGACAGCCATCGTCCAAATATTTAAAAGTCCAAAAACTATGTAGTCAGGGCACGTGAGACTTTATTGTAATAATTTATATCACGCTAATCTGTATTCTTAATCACGACTGTAAATTCTTATCACTGTTGCATTGTACATTGACTTGTCAGCCAATTAATCACTGTATATGACATTTATAGCGTTAATCGGTCATCCCCTATCTGTCCATTGTAGAGTCGTCGCCTGTCCATAGTTGTCCAAAACTGTATATATACACTCACATCTATATTGTCAAAGAGTATGAGTCCGGTATTCCGACTGCCTGTGTAGGACGACCACGAGCAGGAGAATGCCGCTCGTAGGAAACGCCCTGGGGTTGAGCAGGTACTCCGCACACCTCATTTAAGTCTTGTATATTTGTTTGTCATGTAACTAAAGAAATTTGAACTCAACGTATCCCTTCGTCTTGTCAACGTATTGTACGTACGGACAGAATATTGCTATTAGAGGTCATGATGCTGGGAAAAGCACCTTTGTAGGGTTGTAGTCAAATGGGCCGAAGGAGAAAAAAAGGGCCGAAAAAAAGTCAAATGGGCCGAGGCCAAAAGTCAAATGGGCCGAAATCGAAAGTAAAAAAGGCCGAAAAAAGTGTTCAGTAAGAAGGAACCAGCACGCCTTCGAGTGTGATCAATGTCAGTCATGGACACACAGGGTTTGTGGCACAGGGATGACTCGTGAAGACTACTTTGACTTATGTAAGGCAACTGTTACCGAGACCAAGTCCACAGGAGAAAGAGTGCCAGGCAAACATACCCACAGCCACACAGCAGGGGCAGGCAAACTTGTCTCAGTCCAAGTAAGAGCTCAGGTGAGTAGTACTTCCTACTGATTGATTCCTAATTAGTAGTTAATTGAACCATAACTGTTAACGAACTTCCTTTATTGTTAATTGGAGATGTTAAGGAATCGAACTGATTCTTAATTAGATTCTTAATTAACCTTGTTGTTATAGGTGAAGAAGGCTGCAACACAAGACTTGTTCAAGTCTGGCAGGTCCATAGCTGAGGATGTTATTGATATTGTTATGATATTATGTTTTAAGGCGATATATGTCAATAAAAAATGAAAAGAAATTGTAAACTTTTTTTTGTTTGGCCCATATGACTAACAATAAGGCCCTTTTGACATTTTTTCACGGCCCATTTGACTTTCACCACGGCCCATTTGACTTTTGCCATCGGCCTATTTGACTTAGCACTTCTCGTCCCTTTTGCCCTTAGGCCCATTTGACTAGATCCCATTTTGTAGTCCTCTTGCATTATCGTGCAAAGCACAATGAGTTACTGTAGTATTGAACAGTCATCTGCAAAACAGCACAATTAGAAACAAATATTTATCACCAGTCATTCAAAATCAGCTTCTTGATGTTTGCTCATCACAAATTAGAAACCAGTTGGTTAATGACTGCAATTCACAGAAATGTTTTTATCTCATTGCTGACGAGGCAACAGATTCCGCAACCAGAGAACAAATTTCTATCTCTGTCCGACACATTTCATTGAACGACCAGGGTCAAACAATACTCGAGGAATCATTTTTAGGTTTCCCTGAGGCTGACAGTACAAAGGCAGGTGCAGTCTTTCCTGTCAGAACTAGACAAGTATGGGGTTACTAAATGCTATATGAGGGGTCAAGGTTATGATGGTGCCTCGAGCATGAGTGGGTATTTGAATGGTGTACAAGCCATCATAAGACGCCAGTATCCCGAGTCGGAAGCATTCTTTGTTCACTGTAAATCTCATTGTTTGAATAATGCTTCAAACTGCTCCATAACATCACCATGTCAACAGTACAAAGCATTGCCTTTGCGTGTTCGTATTCGGCAAAACGTCTCTTGGCATACACTAAGGAACTGGATATCAAATGAGAATGCCCAGGAAGCAATGGGGCGAAAGATTACTGAACTCTTTGAAACACGTTGGGCAAGTCGTGCGGGTTCGCTATCCACTTTCAAAGCATCATTCGATGATATATTCTAGCCACATAAAGAAACTGTGCACACAGAAAATTCCTTCAGGATTGGAATACAACACAGAAAAGACGACATGATGTAGACACTTCATAAGCTGAAGTATCGGGCCTCAACAACATGTCAAAAGAACATGAACAATATCCATAACGATGACGTCAGAAGTTCAAAATTTAGTCGGGGGTCACACGTCGAAGTCACAAAGTCAATAACGGGTATGACCACCATGCGCGTGAAGCACAGCAGTGCATCGACGACGCCTAGAGGATACCAAATTTTCCAAATGAAGGCGTGGGGAATGGTTTGGGACGTGGTCACTGCCGTCTGGAACCTGTGTCTGATATGAGTCACCCGAATCCATCTGTCCTGTCTTGGCGTCGTTACTCGGGGACGCCCAGAACGTGGGTGGTCGGCGACGTCATTACTGTTTCCCTAACTCCTGACCAATGCAGATATCGTGTTACGATGGCATTGGAAATGTGCTGCCACCTGTTGTTGGCTCATGCCTGCTCGAACCATTCCAATGGCTTCATGACGTTGAGCACATGTTAATCTTGGCATGATGTGCATGTGACTTCTCATGTGAATTTGTGAGCGTTTGAATGACCAAAGATCAAGCTTTCGACAGTGACAGCAATTTCTGAGTTTCACATGTTGTGTGCAGCTGTACAGACTGCACGTGCAGTAACACATTTCAAGTCCATACATAGGCCACCATCAATGACGTCACGTCGCCTGGCACCTGCATGAGCGTTTGATTGTCTCCAATACTTGCTATGTTCACACCTGTATTTATGCATAAAAAGGCTGTCTGCCTATCTATATTTTCTGCGAGCATAGTTTCTTTATGTGGCCAGTATAGTTTAAAGTTTGAGTGCCCTTGAGCAAGATGGCGACTCTAGAGCAAGGTCCCTTAGATGTTCCATTCAATATTTGGACTTCATCATTTGCCTAGTTGTTACACAACACATAATCCAGTACACAGTTGAGTTATCTCTCATGTTGCAGTCTCCGACCATTGACCGTATTCGTGCATCAAGCGAGGTCTTTGTTGTCAGCAGTTTGAGACAGATTCGTGATGACGAGTATGTATGGGAGGAACTTTTCAGTGAGGCATCTGATATGGCAAGCAAGTACATTATATCACAAGATGTGTGAGTCGTCAAACGATGCGCGACAATGCCCCTGCATCCACACCTGAAGTCCACTGAAAGAGGAATCTTTTTTACCCTTTGCTGGATCATATGGCTCAGTAAGTAGAGGACAGGCTTATCTGTCCCAATGGCCGATTCGAAGCTCGGAATTTTGTACCTACTTCGGTCCATAATATGACCGAGGAAATGGGTAGGCGAATATTCGCACAGTTCACTGAACTGAAAGAGAACTCACATGAGCAATAAACGGTAGAAATCAGGCGATGGCAATCACGTTGGCAAGATGTTCCAGCAGGGGAGACCATCGCGTTTGTTGGCAACATTGGACTTCGCAAAAGAAGATCTTTATCAAATATCCATGTTGCCTTCAAAACACTTGTGACAATGCCAGTGTCTTCGGCAACTGCTGAGCGTTCCTTCATGTGACGTGTTAAAACGTATCTCAGGTCAACAATGGTAACGGCTACTTCATATTCACAGGGATTTTGATGTCAACTTTGATAAGGTGATTTTGCAGAAGGGAAACCCCGCAAAATGGCACTTGTCTTCAAGTAGAGTTGGTGCATACAGTAACTGCTGCCAGCAGATCTGTTCCTGACTGTGTCAAACAATTTCATAGTTGATTTAGCTCTTCTTGTTCTTGTTCCCTTTACAACGTTCATGTACTTCTGAGAGTTCCGGTTTTATTGTCTTGTGGTTTATTGTACGTGTACTTTACGGGTCCATCCTTATCAGTTGCCCTGATATGGTGTTTGAAATAGTTACAAATTGTTTCACTGCGTTATTACTATTCCAGATAACGTTTGTTAGAGCCTGCTGTTTTAGTCAGTTTGCGGTAATCATTCATCAAAACCTAAGCTGTGTTTACAACTTAAACTATCCTAGCTACGCCCCTGGCATACGGGTACTGGAGACTAACAATTACTGTTACTACCAGCTAACAGTAACTACGTGAAATAGCATGACAATATTAGGCATCGTCATATTTCTCATCCCATGCACGCCATATTGAAGCGAGGCAACACCCAGTAGGCTGTGTTGTTTCTTTATGACATAAAACCTAACCCTAGTTCTTCCAGATGTGGACAAACTACATCTTGGTGAACTGTTATGTCTGCATGGGGTGTTATATATCTGTGTCGACAACAGCATTGACATAAAACCTAACCCTAGCTCGTCCAGATGTGGACAAACTGCATCTTGGTAAACTGTTACGTCTGCATGGGGTTGTTATATATCTGTGTTGTCAGTGAGGGTGGCTACAGCAACTTGCTCCAGGTGGAAAAGTTGATTATCTGAGACATCAGATAGCCAACATTTTGGAAAGGAATAACTCTCGCAAAACAACTAACGACAATCTCAACAATGCAGAAAAGAAAACATTGAAAAATTTACAATCCGATCAAGCCATCAACATCGCCCCAGCAGACAAAGGCAGAGCCACCGTCATCATGGACACCACCGAGTTCACCACCCTCACTGACAACAACCTGAACGACCCCTGCACCTACAAACAGCTGAAGAAAGACCCTACCACCCGTCTTCAACGAGACCACAAAACCCTCCTGAAAGAACTTTGGGACAAAAACGAGATAGGTCCGACTCTACACAAGCAGCTCACAGTTCCACATCCTAGACCACCCTACGCCCGAGCCACCATCAAGGTCCACAAAGACCCTATCAAAGCCCGTCTCCTAGTCTGCTCACGAAACACAGTCCACTACAATACTGCCAAGCATCTCGCCCATCTTCTTGCCCCACTAAGTAAATCAGCTAAATCCTTTATCTCGGACTCAACGGAATTCTGCAACAAGATCAGCACCATCACCCAGCCAGGGAAACTAATCAGTTATGATTTGGTGGATCTATTCACAAATGTACCAAGAGATGAAGCCCTAGCCACCATTAGAAGAAAAGTTGAAGACATCCACGCTGACCTAGACACCCATTCCGGAAAGTAGACGACACGTTTGTCATAATCAACCCCACCGATGATCGCACCTGCCTTCTGAATCACCTTAATGCCCAACACCCACACATGAAATTCACAATGGAAGAAGAAACCGACAACAAGCTACCATTCCTAGACGTCCAAGTAGAAAAAGGCAACAACAAACTCCACACAAGTGTCTATAGGAAACCAACCCACACGGACCAATATCTTCACTTCTCATCTAGTCACCCACTACAAGTCAAGAGAGGTATAATCGCCACCCTAGCCAGAAGAGCAAAGAACAACAGCTCCACAACCCAAGCCCTTGAAGTCGAGTTCGAACACCTTCACCATGTCTTCATAAACCTTAACGATTATCCAGCTAACCTAGTCAACAGAACCATCAACACCACAGTCAATCCAAAAGACAAACCACCACGTCAACAATCAGTCCCGTTCATCATCAGTATACCATACGTCGATACAATCAGCCACCATATCCGGAGACTACTTAAGAAGCAAGCCAACATAGATGCTGTGTTCCAGAGAGGCACATCAATTTAGCATATCCTACAAGCCAACGGTAAACCACCTACAAGCAACAAAGAAGACCCTTCAGGCGTTGTCTACCACATTCAATGCGACTGTGGTGACTCACACATAGGAGAAACGTGCCGCCCCCTAAACCTACGAACCAAGGAACATCAGACATCTGTAAAGAAAAACACTCCAAATCAGCCATTTCCGACCACACCCAAGCCCACCCGAACCATACCATACTTTGGAACAACATCAGCATCCTAGAAGCCAACCGGTCAGATTACAAGATAAAAAAACCCTCTATATTAGAGGCAATCAACATCAAATGACTCAATCCGGCAATCAACAGAGATCAAGGTTATTACATCCCCACGGCTTACGATCAACTAATCAAGCCTAATCAAGAATAACCCACCCTTTGTCTACTGGCTTCAATCATTCCTATCACAACAAGTCTCATGTCAACACACCGTACATCAACCTCTTCTATTGTATAAACCTATACCCGCCATATATATATTTCTCCTTGTGCAAATGTTGTGTATCAATTGCTTGATAACGGTGTTAGGATCTACACCGAAACGTCGCAACTACTACTGCAACAAAGAAGTTGTCTATCCATAAAAAGTGTTCCACTTAATATTTAACAGCGCATAACGCGATAGTTTGCCCGGTCAGCACCTCAGCAATTAGAAGTAAGACTGACTGACTGAGTTTGGTTTTACGCCGCTTTTAGCAATATTCCAGCAACATCACGGCGGGGGACACCACAAATGGGTTAGACGTAACAGTCCTGAACTTAAGACATGGAGATTGAAGAGTGGACGGCCGATGTTTTTACTCAAATGGACTCGTCGCAGCATGCATTTCATCCCGACGACAATGAGGATTTCAATTAACGAAGGAACAAGAAGCCGCTTGCTTTGGTGACCTTGTGACTGAAAATGACTTGCAGCATTTCCACGGGACTCGCATCCCAACAAACACCGGTTTCGATCTCTGGACCCAAGATGACGGCGACACATGGCGAACAAAATATATCAGTAGACATGGTAAGATGGCATTCGCATTGAGACTGGTTGTACTATTCTGCAACATAGGACAAAAATTTAAAATATTTACAATGAAAAGAACAATATTGTGTACAGACAAACGATATCAACGCCTTGCGCCTTGATTAGATATCAACGCCTTACACCATGATTACAGAGTATTACGGTCGAAAAAGGGAGAGGTGAAGGTCATTCACACGCTGTCCGAGTTTATTTCAATTCTTTTTTTTCAAATGACAACATTTGAAATAATATTTAGAATTTAATTGGTGCTTCAGAAAACTAATACATATATGATGTAAATTGATGCCTTTTATGGATTAATGACAAACTGAAGCGATGTATCTTAATATGGTTACAGACGGTGTTAGATCGGCGGCATAGCCGATAACATAAAACAACCCAAACGACGTATGTAAGGTGCACGCTGTGACATGTTCACCCTCTTAATATGTAATTGCATTACCAATGAGTATAACAGATGATAAAGGGTACACTTACAAGGTGTCCTGTGTGCCTCGCTTCGTGCTTGGGATGAGAAATATGGTCATGCCTAATATGGTCATAATATTTCATGTAGTCTGTTAGCTAGTAGTAGCAGTAATTGTTAGTCTCCAGGGGCGGAAAGGCTGTCTTTGTAACTGCTAGTAGCAGCTAATAGTTACTATGAAAGACCAGCTAGTAGTAGATACTATTTCCTGGATCGGGTGCGTTGGGCGTAAGTTGTGAACGCCGGCAACTCGCTAAGCATTCGTGGGTATAGGTTATCGAAACGTGCTTCATAAGTTACTAATACGTTTTGTATACGTCCAAATCGTTAAGAATACGCTGTGTATACGCCCAACATTGAAAAAAACATTGATAGTTCAGCGTATACCAGAGAGACTTTGACATACGTTGGCTAAATCATCAAGATGGGACAGGACCTTTAAAACGTGCAGTGGCGTCTACATAGAAAATGCATGGACGATAAAATGGATGGATGTTTTTGCTCAGTGACGTTGTCAACAACAGTTACCATTGTATGGAAATGTCTTATACACACCAACTTGCCACGAGCACTGGAAACGGTGTATGTCAGTTCCAGCTGAGTGTACAAGTGTCAAAAAGTAAATTAGGCCACGGATGGCCCAGTCGTTTAAGGCGCTGGGCAGTTCCTTAGACAAGCCAGAAACCTACCCATCAAATCGGTCGGATTATGTTTATGGGCTTGTCAGCACTCGCGCTCGTGGGTTCCACCAAACAGGTAAATGTCTGTGACCTGCATCACCCAACATGACGGACCGTGTTATAACTGGAATACTGTTACGTGCGGTCTAAAACCCCAGTTCAGCAACTCGGAAAGTAACTATTTATCTGTTACAAAATCAAGGTGGACAGATTATAGGGTAAGCGTTTAGGGTTAGGGGAACGGAAGGAACTCTTTCCGATTATAGTTTCACAACAAATATATCAACGGCAAGTTGGCGCCTGTAATTTGAAGGCGTTAGGTGAGAGTGTCACCGAAACAAATGGTGAAATTTGAAGAAATGGCCACGAAATGTAATTCATGTTTCAGGACTTTGGAATTCAAAACTAGCCCGTGGTTTACTATCAAAGCTAGTTTGTCAAGCCTGGGTCCCATCAAACAAAGTGATTTCAGCGGTAAGGTGATCGTAACTCCCGCACTTAAACACTGGCTCACCAGATAGTCGTAGCCCAGAGATCATTTTGTACACACGCAGTCTGGGCATGACCCATTGAGATGTATTTCATGCCTCTGTCTTATGTTAGGTTTGTTACTGACATGATAACCAGAGGTAATCTCTTATTTACACAGGAATACATCTTTGTAGCTAACTGCCACAACTGTGCATATATGTGTGTGGGCCTCAGCCCTCTCGACGTCCCACAAGGAAGGTCCCAGAGAATGAATGAGTGTGTGTGTGTGGGGGAGGGGGGGGGGCGCTAGAAATGGGCTTCACACATTGCACCCATGTGGGGAATCGAACCTTGGTCTTTGGGGTGACGAAACATCACTTTAACCACTAGGCTACCCCACCGCGGAGTAGGATGAAGAATGGAGATAATGCTGGCCTTCAGTTGCAGCCATGGGCAACTAATGATCAAAACAACAGACCAAAATAATAATGTCTGCATATTTATTTTCACCATAATTTTTTTTTTAAATACATAAATAACACCTAAATATGGTTCTGACATGGAGGTATTTAGGACAAATACTGAAACCAAATACAATGACTCCATTAGCGTCTTACTTGGTTTACAGATGCATGTAATGGGCAACACAAGATAAATTTAAAAAAATAAATGTTAACACTTAAAAGTAATTTGATTAGATGAAATAACAAATGATGTGACAGTAAAGAAAGTGTGTTTTACAAGTCAGATGGTTTCTTCATCTGCTCCAAAATATTTGTCATCACTGAGACTTGGGATGAAGAAAATGAAAGTTGTCTAAAATAAAATATTGCATTTTTATGGACTTTCATCCAAACCATTAAACCAGGTATTCAAAGGTCAAATGTCTTATTTTACATAATTCTAATATCAAAATGGTTTGTAGAATTGGAACACTTTCTACCCATCCTTATTTGTACAATAAAGTGAATTGTTATACACCAGGAGAAGACCCAGGGATACTTATCTCTGAAACAAAGTGCAAACTAGTCATTCAGACCAGAATGAGTGGTCAAAACACACAGGTACATTCTAAAAACAAAAATACCACATGTGGAAAATGTTTTCATTTTGACCGATAAAGTTTATGATGAATAAAATAAAATAATTTATCATGAATCCAAATCATTCTGCAGAAAATATTGTAGATCTCTGATAAGGTTAATATGTCTATCCAGTAATCAACTACATTTTTAACAGTGATGCTGAAACTGATGCTGAAATAGATGTCCGAATATGGAAGTATCTAAGAAATGACCCTGATAAATACTAAGTAATGGCTAGTGATGTAGTTACAAGTACTAAGCTACTGCCAGCTGCCTGAGCTCTCTTCAAGGTTGCATAAGACACAACGTCCATAAACTTAAACACCTGGGTAAATATAGTTACAGATTAAATAAATAATGAAAAGCACAGAGCAGACACCCCTTTTGGCCTGAAGGGGAGGTTTCCAGATAGACAGGGTTTTACTACATGCTTAAATGGAATTTACTACATACTTAAATGGAATTTGCTACATACTTAAATGGAATTTGCTACATACTTAAATGGAATTTGCTACATACTTAAATGGAACTTAAGTATGGAACTCATATAAACTATGAACAGCATACAGGCATGAAAGTATAATAGTAAACATGTAAAATGCTATTCTGCAATACTTGGTTGTAAAAAGAATACAAAGGTAGGAAAAGATCAGTACTGTGAAATCTCAACTCTTAATGGTTGGTCCCCAGTACTTCCAGTTCATGAGAGTAGAACCTCTGTCCTGACCAAAACTGGTACCAATGTTAAGCTATTCTAAGGCTTCAACAGTTTCAACTCAGTAAATATTCTCAAATAGCAAGAATGAAACTAAGGATTTCTAAAACGTTCAAAAACTACTTAACAGAATTTATTCACACATTGTTCAACAAGGACATTAATTTATATATTCTATAAAACCTCAGCCATGTACTGATTGCACACTTCCCCAAACACTACAAATAGTTGGCAATAAAAAAATAGACAAGATTTTTACCATACGCTTTCAAACAAATATATACGATGTATTTAAATCACAACTTTAGTACATTTCCATTGTTCTATTACATGTGACAACCGTCCAACACAATGTAGACATTTCCATGATAATACGCACATACTGAATGTGGATATGAAGACATGGAACTAGAGGCCACGTCAGATCTCTGTCAGATAGGGTTAGTACAACAATACCAGCTGACTTGTTTCGGTCTTATGTTCATACACTGAAAATAATCACTTCAAATATAAATTGTCATCCAATTATAATTGGTAACAAAAGACATCCATATTAGCAAACAGATCCTGATTTGGACACGCCTAGACAGGCCAGTGGTGAGTTTCTTGCATTTTGAGATTTGACCATGTCTTTCAAGTCAACCAAGAATACCATGAAGATCAGTGAACAATACCACCTTGATGTATACAAAATGGTCTGGCACAACTACACAGCTTCTGATGACCCGTGACATTAAATGCAGTTTAAGTGAGGAAACTGTTTATCAGTACATCAAATACATGGGCAACCATGGTAACAGACACATACACAGAATCAGACAGATCTGTCATTCTCCTCACACACAAGAATGCCTAATAGGTGACTGATGTCAATCAAATTTCTTTTGTAACCGTTTCTTGAAAACAACAGGTAGCAGAGAGAGGATAGCTAATGCAGCTAGTACAATAACAGACGTCCATGACACAGCATCCCCTGACGAGGTCAACTTGTACAAGGTCGTTCCTGCCTGGACTGCTACGAAGGAAGGTGGAGCAACTCCTGCAACATCAAGAGCAATAGAAAAATACATAAATCTTAAAAGTATAACTTCTATATTCCTACAAATGCAAACTGGTGTTTTTACCACAAAAACATTCTCCAATCAATCGGATAAACAATAAGACAAGCTAACAGAAGCATCTTCTTCACCTCGTCACTCTGAAGGCCTGTTTGATTCCCCACATGGGTACAATGTGTGAAGCCCTTTTCTGGTTTGGCCCACCATGATATTGCTGGAATATTGCTAAAAGCGGCGTAAAACTAAACACACTTTTCACACCACAAATATATGTCGACCAACCTACTGACCCCACAACAACCTGTAAACTGAGAAACAAAGTGGATGTGATGTAGACAGATCAAAGTTTAAACCACGAGCAGCTAACATTGCCATGGAACATAACTCTGCACGACTGCAGCACCACTGATAACTCTATCATCCATGAGTGTGAGTGAGTTTAGTTTTAGGCCTCACTCGGCAATATTCCAGCTATATGGCGGCAGTCAGTAAATAATCAAGTCTGGACCAAACAATCCAAGGATCAACAGCATGAGCATCAATCTGTGCAATTGGGAACCGATGATATGTGTCAACCAAGTCACTGAGCCTGACCACCCGATCCCATTAGAGGCCTCTTACGACAAGCATGGGTTACTGAAGGTTCATTCTAACCCGGACCTTCACGGGTCTCGTCCATGAGTGGACAGTGTGAACAAACAGACTTATAAGCACAAACAAGTGACGCACCTATAAAGGTTCCCCAGAAGAAAGGTGGGAGAGGCACGTCTATGACTGGGGCAGTGATGTTGATAAACCAGTTGGGGAGGAATGGAGTGATTCGCAGAAAGATCATGTAGTTGAGCAGGTGTTCACGGTTCTTTTCAACCTGCAATAAATACGACAGAATTATCAATTTTGAAGAATGATGATAATTTTATGGATATACCACTTCTTTATACTGTGAAAGGCGACGTTTCGACATAGATTCTAACGTCGTCAAGCAAGTGACAATGACATTAGAATGTATGTTAAAACAACGCCTTTCACAGAATAAAGAAGTTATATATCCATACAATACAACTTCTAAAACGCCTTCATAGAAATTTTATCGGTGCTAATATACATCATCTCCAAGAACATCCAACTTTCCAAGGAGATGGAATTGGACATGTTTGAACACATACTAACTCCAAATCAACAAATTCACTGCATTCAGGTGAAATGTAACAAATTTTGATTGTTCATTCAAAGTTTCCACACAGAGATCCTCTATACATGAAACATTACACTACAAACAGGCATGAAAATAGTTAAGCAATATTTGTATAGATTGTGTTGATGTGGTTGTGCAAGGTGACTCACATGTGACCTCCACTGGGCTACTCGCTCGGGGATATACTTCCTCACCAGTCTTCTTCCAACCAAATATGACAACAAATAACAGAAGGAAGCACCTACAGCTGATGCCTGTGGAAACAAGAATTACACACCGGCTTCATGCATTTCCTCAAAACAGATGTTTCTACATGTTGTTTCAGGTAAGGATATATTCAACAAGAAGTATAAAGATCCGGGTCTGAACTGGTCTTCAGAAACACATGCTTGCTGTTAAGGGTTCTAATGGCAAAAGGCACTCAGGCTTCCTAATTTGAATGTTGCATATCTGGTTCTCTGACAATGTAGACCAGGACATGTTTCCTAGCTAAATATGGAGCAGTAAGTTTGGATTAACATCACTATTCCAGTTAAACCTCAGGCAGCATGGAGGAGGTGGGCCCCATGGAGATGGTATACGTTCAGCGTTCACTACTCTAGTTAGATTCCCTGACTACTGACAAGCCAAAGGTCAGGTCAGTGAACAATTGTTCAACATTAACTGAGGTCAAATAAAAAAATGTGGTTCCGATTACACCTCTTTAAAATTCAGTGTAGGTAGGTCGGATTTCTTTTGTACGTTTTTTTAGAAGTAAAGTACAAATTAATAACACATTTATCAATGTGTAATTGTTTATTCAATCAAGCTTGCGGCCATCATGTCAACTTTCTCTATCAGAATGGCCGATGTCCGTCGGTGTCAGGAAAAAACAATGGTATCTGAAAGCTTATCTTATTCATACCGCTAAAAAAAATAGGATCGGCACCAGAATTCAAGAGTCGGACGGGTAATCAGAACCACAACATTAGGCCTGATGGAATCTAGGTTTGTCTTAGATTATCTTGCAAATGAATGAGAACATAAATTTCCCAAATAAGAAAGTTGCTGTGACTGACAGACAAAATAGAAAGTTAATCAAGCCAAATGTTAATTTTCTGTTGCTCACCTACTACTGGAGTACAATATGTACAATACTCACCAGACAAACACCGAATAGAGCAATGTAGTAGGAGAATAGATAGCCACAGATTATGCTGAGAAATATAGATCCTGGTATAGCAAATGTTTGTAAACTGAGCACTGGTTAAGGAAAACACAAGGGAGACTTGCATCTGACAAACACTTGCTGTTTTCATGTCATAAGATTCAAAGTAATAATCGATATCAAGACACAAGCTGTGAGTTTCAACTTCAGAAGATTCTTAACCTGACATGGTGCAGGTCAAGCATATTCAGACAGCTGCTCTTCAATGTACACATACATGGTGTCCCTTAACACTACAACCTTCTGTTCAGAAGGCACAACTGACTGACTGACTGAGTTTGGTTTTACGCCGCTTTTAGCAATATTCCAGCAATATCACGGCGGGGGACACCAGAAATGGGCTTCACTCATTGTACCCATGTGGGGATTCGAACCCGGGTCTTCGGCGTGACGAGCCAACACTTTAACCACTAGACTACCCCACCGCCCCTCAGAAGGCACAACAATGTGTAGGGAATCAAACCCGGGTCTTCAGTGGATGACGAGCGAACACTTTAACCACTAGGCTACCCCACCGCCCCTGTAACAGCAGGAAATAACAATGGTTCACAGAAACATGTCCAAACTGACCCTTTCCCACTTTCAATGTTCAAAAGACCAGGGTCAAACACTCCAATCAACAAGAAATGATTTGACATAACTGCAGGGTCAGGTGAGGCAGTTTGATGTGCACAGGTCTATTTTCAAAACAATGAATCTGGAAAATAACTGCCATGATGTCATCTGCCCTGTACTTTGATGCAAGATAAACTGGACATACAAACACTTCACCGCAGTGTGGATCACAGGGTTAAAAGGATACAATATATACATAACAAAAACGCCAATTAAAACTTGGTAAAAATATCTGTCCTTGTATCTTGACAAAACTCTTCCCAAATTTTTCGCATCATCAATATCTCTAGGTAGTTTAATATACTGAACTTCATCTCTGAAACAGAAAAACATCGTAATCATGATAATACTATTCCAGTGATGCATAATACATACAAATCAAACTCAATGATCACACAATTATAAACTTAAGTTAAGTTAAACTTCAGTTTAACTTTTGGGTACTATATAAGATACCTCCATCAAACAAACTGTGAGAAAATCCACTGAAGAAATTAAAATCTCAATATCTGTCCTGTGATCATTGATAGTGCAACTTTCTAACATCACCCAGCACATACAACATCCATTATGAAACATGTTTACAAACCTGCTAGCTGAGACAAGACATAACATTGCATTGCCATGATACACATAGCAATACAACACCTGGGTGAGTGAGTGAGTTTAGTTTTACGCCACTCTCAGCAATATTCCAGTTATATGGCGGCGGTCTGTAAAGAATCGAATCTGGACCAGACAACCTAGTGATCAACAGCATCGATCTGCGCAACTTGGAACCGATGACATGTGTCAACCAAGTGAGCGAGCCTGACCACCCGATCCCGTTAGTTGCCTCTTACGACAAGCATGGGTTACTGAAGATCATTATTCTAACCCGGACCTTCACGGGTAACCTCACCTGGATATATACAACATTAATAACATCCACTGCCAGTTACTATTTATACTGCACTACATTTATCCTCTGTACCTCCAGGGCTGGCATTACAGTAAATCACAAATTACCTTCCCTTGATTTTCATCAATCAGACTTCAACATAAGGGAAAGCCTAAGGGAGGTAACTCCTTACACTCGGACATCAAAGTTACCCGCAGCTTTAGTGGACGTGAAGACATCCTTTCCATCAGAAAGATTTTGGAGGGATTTCTTTTGCCTGTCTCCTTTTTAATTGTTGAATTGCTTGCTTACTTATCATAAAATGACTGGGATTGTTCACCCCAATGTTGTTGACATTGCCAAACCAACATTGAGGCTGGTTTGTAGCTCTCATTCAGGTACATTAGGCCTAGTAATGAAGCCAATCAAACTGACATCAAGGGCAGGTAATCTGAGATTGTGAGAACCATGGGAAAGGATCCTGCAGTTTGTGTAAGTTTACTGAAATGCCAGCCCCAGATATATATGCCCTACACTTGAACATGAATATACAAAAATGGGCTGCTCACTGTACCAAGACATTTATAAAAAGAAAGATTGGTAATATTCTTCAAATTTCATACAGTTAAAGACACAACTTAAAGTTCCTTACGAGGAAGTCCTTGATAAAACAGAATATATAGCTGTTCATGGCAGGTGAACAGTGAAAAAGGACAGGATGATCAAGACTGAAATAACCAGTGTTATTGTAGGAAGATGATGCATGCATAGTCAGTCACTAAACTCAAAATCCCACATCCACCATTCCAAACCATGATTGTCACTGAGATAATGTCAAAATGTCAAACATCGCCAAAAATAGCACATATGCTTCAAATCCCACTAAAACTAAATGTCTACCAAATTTCATTAGATTTGAAAATGAATGGCAGAGAAATGCACATAAATTGTTTTATTCATATTGCTGAATGGCTAATACACTGAAAATCTGATTTCGTCCTTTTGAAAGAGTGTCACCTTGGTGGAAACAAGTATATGAAGTATTTCCTTCAGTGGTACAGTGTTTTCTGATGTGAAGATATTTATGATAAACAACGCAACACTGATGACACACAGGCAATGACATAAATTCACTGTATTCACGGTCAGGAGAGCTAAAACATGCTGGCATACATTGGTACAGATAGTGGTTAAGTGCATTCTTTCTCCACAACAGATGATAATGTAGTAAGGCCCTAGTCATTAGCAACATAATTAAACAGGGTTTCACATCCACAAGTGGCACTTGGGATTTAGTGTTGCAAGGAAGCCAAGACATTCACCACTTTGACACCTTGTCTAAGGATGCTACTCTGCTGGATGGTACAACAACAACAAAGGGGTTCTACTCTGTACAGTGGGTGGTACAACAAGGGATTGCTACTCTGTACAGAGGGTGGTACAACAAGGGATTGCTACTCTGTACAGAGGGTGGTACAACAAGGGATTGCTACTCTGTACAGAGGGTGGTACAACAAGGGATTGCTACTCTGTACAGAGGGTGGTACAACAAGGGATTGCTACTCTGTACAGTGGGTGGTACAACAAGGGATTGCTACTCTGTACAGAGGGTGGTACAACAAGGGATTGCTACTCTGTACAGTGGATGGTACAACAAGGGATTGCTACTCTGTACAGAGGGTGGTACAACAAGGGATTGCTACTCTGTACAGTGGATGGTACAACAAGGGATTGCTACTCTGTACAGTGGGTGGTACAACAAGGGATTGCTTCTCTGTACAGTGGGTGGTACAACAAGGGATTGCTACTCTGTACAGTGGGTGGTACAACAAGGGATTGCTACTCTGTACAGTGGGTGGTACAACAAGGGATTGCTACTCTGTACAGTGGGTGGTACAACAAGGGGATGCTACTCTGCTGTACAGTGGATGGTACAAGAGGGTGCTACTCTGTGCAGTGGGTGGTACAAGAAGGGGATGCTACTCTGTACAGTGGGTGGTACAAAGGGATGCTACTCTGTACAGAGGGTGGTACAACAAGGGATGCTACTCTGTACAGTGGATGGTTCAACAAGGGATGCTACTCTGTACAGTGGATGGTACAACAAAGGATTGTTACTCTGTACAGTGGATGGTACAACAAAGGATTGTTACTCTGTACAGTGGATGGTACAACAAAGGATTGCTACTCTGTACAGAGGGTGGTACAACAAGGATATGCTACTCTGTACAGTGGGTGGTACAACAAGGGATGCTACTCTGTACAGTGGATGGTACAACAAGGGATGCTACTCTGTACAGTGGATGGTACAACAAGGCGATGCTCCTTAATGAAACAAATTGGAACATACAGCTGTTTACTGTCAATATTAGCCAGAATTAAAGCTGGTTTTAGTCACTAATACATGGGAATTCTGTACAGAATTGTGTACAGAATTCATACCAACAGTAATGGCACATCAGTCAAAATGATTCAGAACTATGGTACAATATAAGCAAGGAAAGCCAAGGATTGTAATCCCTGTTACAACTGGTAAGTTCAGCCTGTATTAGTGTCCCATGTTAAAGTGTTACCAGTGGCAGCATGCAGCAGTACACAGTGTTGTGAAGCACATATACAAACCTTACACAACCTTGTTGAAGGACGGCAAAGATGGGCTTATATGGACAAAGTACTCACTGATCCAGCTTTGGGAAGTTGAGATACACAACTCCCAAGGCTAGCAACGATGCCAGGAAAATGAGTCCGAGTATGAGGAATGACTTTGTGCTACTCCCCTCCGACGCATGGCGTGACCGTTGGCGCGAGTCAGTTTCATCAGTGGAGTAGCCTAGAACAGTCACATGACATGACTACATCACAACATGCTCCACTCTCACATCACAACTTCAGAACAAGTAATGCTGCGCCTGTCTTTAACTCTCCATGTTGGGTGGGAATAGACATCAATAATGAAAATGTATTGAGTGATTTATCGTCTCAGAAATGAACTCATCAATCCCATGAGCTATGTGCAGGACATAGACTTGTAATGCAGAATGTATTTTATTATTATGTCTCATCTACTTGTAAAACCAGACTTGTAATACCAGACATGGAGAACAGAATGTGTTTTATTATCATATCTCTTCTACCACGTTTACAAACATGTTTTATGGAAGATTGAGTAAAACAAGCAAGACCAAGGGTCTTTAATAGGCTTTGGGATCTGGGCTGGTGTTTCTCGGGGAAGAGGGATGGATGGGCATATGAACCGGCAGAGCTGCGTCACAATTAGGTAAATTGTAGCTGAAGCAGCTTACTTTCAGTTTGGACAGTCACTAGTGGGCAGTTCATAGGGAAATAAATGCACAAGAAAATGTCACGCGTCCTAAAATACTGCCAATAAAAACATGACTGACAGGATTGAAGGTATTTGCTGAACTGGAAGCACATTAGTTTTCAATGGTCAGCATGGTATGTGCGATAGAGTGCCTGTGCAAGACTAATGAACAAGCTCTGTGGGGACACAATCTTGTGAAACAACAAAATGAAAGCTGGAGGCGAGAAAAAAAAAACTATCCTAAAGAGGTAAGGCAATGCAAGAAAAAGACACTCTTGACTTACCCTTACCAGAAAAGTTTTGAGAACCCTGAAAAATGTATTCTTAGGACTTCTCAAAATATTGCAAATATCTTTCTACAAATCATGGTCAGGCTAGCTGTTCTCGAAACGTTCGTATCCCTACGAACTTCTTAAGCCCATTCTTAACACATTGGCTACGATCAAAGTTAAGAATTCTTAGGGCTATGAACATTTCGAGAATAAGGTCCCAGGTTCTCTTTCTACTAAATGCTATATAGTGTTGATAATGTTGACAATGCTCAACATAGTGTGTTGCCCTTTGCTTTCTGATAACCTGTAAGTGACACACATGTTTACCTCCCAGCCTGGCACTGTTGACATTGTAACAGTGGCCGGTCAATGTACAGCAGATACAGTCTTGCTCAGGGGGTGGGGTAGTCACTATATAGTGGTGGTCTGTGGTCCTGTGCATAGAGCTCAGGTCACAAATCATTTGAAGTTAATCATTTGAAGTTAAGCATTTGAAGTTCTGGGCGCGGACAGTCCTTGGATGGGCCACCGTGTTTGGCAGCTTGACTCCTAAGAGTTTCTTAGACTTCAGTCTGCCCCACAACGAAGCACATGTGATACATGTAGTCTCACCTTAGGCAAGTGAGTTTGTTCAAAAAGTGCCTCTGTTCACCCAGCAGAAAATGGGTACCCAGTGGGATAAGTCATGTGACTGTAACCTTCTAGCACCTAACAGGCAGCTTGGATTATCCGGGGTAATAATGTGTTAGCGCCATGAGCATACTTACGAGCATGGATATGTGTGCATTATAAACATGCACTATTATTATTATGATGCTGTATCTGTTATTCCCCACTAGGGGTGAAAAACTGTAAAGTCACAATACGATTTGTATCTGAAACACATACTCTCGCCAAATTGCATGGAAACTTTGTCTATTATTGTTTAAGAAGAGGTTCCAAAGAAAAAACTAGCTGTAGACACAAGTTCATCACAGCTATTTTAGCAGTAAACTAGAAACGATAATTGCAATTTGCAATTTGACTGACACCAGATGGGATGGGCAGCATGATAAAATGACCCATAAGCAGTGTATGAAATAAGCCAAAAATCCAGCCAGACATCAGGGCTGGTAACTTCAAAATGTTACCAGCCCAAAATGGATTTAGCCAGACCAAATATGGTGAATTTACTCAGATGTATGGAACATCCAAATTTTTTACCAGACCATCGGGTTGGCTAGCTGTAAATTTAGACTGTCTGTCAGAAATCTAGACCGTCTCGGGCGGTCGGACGGGCCTTATTTCACACACTGCCATAAATTTTTTACAAGCATTTGGTCTTGTCTCAATACAGAAAAAAAGTGTATTGTGTATAGTGGTGGTCTGATTAATTGAAATAATCAAACATTGGTCACAATGACTAAACAACCAAGCAATCGATCATGTTTTCTCATAATCGAACACAAATGATTTTGGACCACTTGTTTTCATTAACAATAGTTTTCACATGGTTGGTTTTCGTCTGTTACATTTCATAAGCAATACAAGCTCGTTTTAGGTTATGCATGTTGTCATGGTTACTGTTCACCATCATTTCAAAAGAACACTCTAGACAAGTCTTTCCTGAGTGAATGAATCTAGTGCATCTCAGTGAGCGAGATGTTTCCGTTAAACGCTGCTGAGGAAAGTATTTCAGTCATACCACTAAATGTCCACTCAATGTCGGAGTGCTGGAGTCAGAAGTGATGCATATAGGTAACATGCCTACACCCCAAATACATAACCTACAATTCTTTATTTGTATTACTTGTCTGGAGTCAAAATGGTGCATAATCTGTGTGGAAATGGGTGGTAAATATTGAAACATGCCATAGTGGCACAACTAAAATTAAAAAAATAATACCATGATTCATTTAACAGAAAATGCGATAAATTTCAGCAAATGATTCAAAATCTATTGTTGCACAGTGTCAACTTGTTTCTCGATGGCACTCTATTGCACATGGTTGCTGCCATGTCATTGATAGTGTTCAGGATACTTACACGATGTTTACTTATTGTTAGGGATGCAATAAAAAAATACACTATGTTCTAGTGACCACAAATGACTTGAATTCACGAAGGGATATGGTTCAAGTCACTGAATATGTGAGTGAATCAGAGGTACAGATAAGCTGCGTATCTGCGTAAATTACGCAATTGTTTTTGGGAAAACTCAATTCCTATTAAGTCTATTGCGTACAAGTACGCTTGAATTTTTGTAAATACTCAATAAATGTGATCTTACATGCGTACACACAAAAATGTCAAATCTTAGCTTGGGTACCGGTGGATAGATAAAATAACTGAGGTATATTGAGAGGTTCTATTTCAGGACATGAACGTGACAACTTGCAGTCTTTCTTATCATTTTTCATATTACAGATGAAACATAAATAACAAACACTAACATTTAAACTTTATTATATTTTTAAAATTAATGGAAAATGGCAAAATACCCAATTGAGTTTGAGTGAGGTGAGTACAATTTATTTGGTTACTCAAAGGAAAATTAGGATACCCAATTGAGATGAACACAAGCGAGTACATAACTTAATGACCCAAAAAGTTATCTGTAGCTCTGGTGAATCGTAACAGGGCCCCGTTCCTCAAAGCGATAGTAGTGCTACGACAGTCGTATGTCTATGTTAAAGTATGGGAGTTACAATCCTCTTAGCGTAACAATCGCTTTGTGGAACGGGGCCCAGGACTACTGATTATTAAACAATAAATTAAAATGACATAATCGTTGTGAAAAAAAATGCATTTCTATCTTTGCTTGTTCCATGTGGGACATCAATGCTGCGAACAGGGTTTCCATTCAAGGGTCTTCAGTTGCCGAAATTGGCAACTGAAGACCCTTGAATAAAAAAGCATACGTTTTATTGAGACCCATTGAGAACTGATGGCCTTACAGTCACCGTGATTACAGATACATCTGTGTCAATATTTTGAGATAAAGTTTGAAACCGTCATCAGGAATGTATTTGGCAATGGTTACCATGGTTACAAAGGTTAGAACAACACGCTGTTATGACTCTAGAAGTCTATACAGAATGGGGTTAAACTGTAGTGGGTCAATGTCACCAATGGGATATATAGGAATATGATAAATGCTTGAACCACACTCACTCACCCATACATACCACAAAAAACAACATTTGGAAAGCGGAAGCAGACTGTGCAGAACGTACATTGAAATAACATCATATGACAGAGAGCATTCATTCACAACTGGCACAAGTATGTTCTGCAGGCAAGACCAGCAAGGATATAGTTCAACAATTACTACACCCAGTATCTACACATGCTATTTGGAGCAGGCTGAGCAATGCTATGCATGTATTTGTATCGCTGATTTACCCTGTACCTTCTCAATGATAAACACGTCTCAGACAAAATACAAATGATATACATGTACATTTAACGCATGCTGGGGTTTACTACAGTTTACAAGGCATTTTTTCTTGTTTATATAATAATGGACAGCAAACAGCAAATTTAAGGCAAATGAGAAAGAACTCTTCCCATTACCATGTACATGCCTTTTACCTTTGTCAGCTTGTTGTTTATTAAACCTTTGTCATGTTTATGAGATCTACACCCACCAAAATTATTTAACTTACAAATGTCAGGTTGCTTTCAATGAGAAGAATATACTGGAAATATCAGTGGCATGTCACTTCTGGTAGAACTGCATGTGCTTATTCTGTGAGGAGAGTTGTTTGTATTTCCATACATTTGTATCATTACTTTTAGCATCTTGGTTCAAATTAATCATACATGAATTAATTGAAAGATTTAAAAATAGCATGTTCATTCAGATGGTTTTGTTTCCATTTTGTTCAATGCTGCACCCAGGAATATTTTAGCAGAATCTTCATTCAAGACAATGTACTAATTGACAGCATGAACATATTTCAGTTCCAACAATACTTACAACAAACAGGCTATTAATGTGAAAAAGAGCTCAATTAAGTTAACATGCTTAGCATGCTAATGTGTGGTAGTACCAGTACTGCATATTAATTAAGTGGATAGATAGAAAATTGAACAAACACAATCACATTGTCATTAAACATGCTCGCAGTCGCATTCATTTACCCATGGCAAGAAAATGATGAAAAAAAATACATGACAATACCATCATCTTAATTTGGCAAATCCAGGATTCTGAACATTTGGTAACCTCAACACTCTGTGTATGTGAGTGTATGCGTGTATTGTCCAGTGTTATCAACAATGATCAATATTTATGAGTGGCAACAAGTTGCACCAACAGGCCTCTGATCAGTCAGTCGCTTACTAATGTTACTAATGTTATAATAACTTATTAGTCCCTGAATCTAAGAGAATCGTACTATTTTAACATTAACACAACGTATTATACTATCACCACGTAAGCATGCTGGCACACACCGAATATTAACGTCGCTCATTCACAGAAGCTGCCTAAAAGCATTCATGCAGAGGATAGACTGAGAGGATGACAGCAGTGCTCGTTTCTACCACTCACTCAAATCATACTCGGACACATGGCGACTTGTATAACGTGATTTTGAATACTTCTGTCGTAATGGTGGCCTGGGTGTTGCGCCCAAAGGGCTTGCAGGCAGACTACCTTGATAGGACGTCCCGCGATACTTAGCAGATGCCGGTGATCCTTCGTCTTCCATTTTCCTTTCAATATGATGTATCACTTCCGGTCATTTTTAACATCCGGTACTGTCGGAATATCCCGAGCTTGTATTTTATCGTTTGTATTTTTCCCCAAATGAAAAAACGGCTATCACTGCAAAAATTCATTGTTCTGAGAAAGTATTAGAGTGTTGAAGTTATTTAGACGGGATGGTTTCGTTGTGCACTTCCGGTGAAAATATGGCTTCATTGACAACATGACGCTTCTGCTTTAGAAACACAGTTGGTATGGCAGTACGCAACTATTTTGCGACATGACGTGATTGTGGTTGCATCTTTATTGAAGAAAGTTGTCTAAGCTTCCTTATAATAGATACATAATATCAACATAAGCAGGTCTGATAACAATAGCACGGACTGTTTGAAATCCTCACCCCCACCCCCAAGTCGTCGAACACCCACATGACCCTGGAGAGTTAGCTCATCAAGCACATTTAGCCCTCCAGTAATGCCAAAATAAATGTACATACACAGAAAGTATATGTCTGTTTTACCATTTTATCAATGAAACATTTGATAGACTTACGTTGCCTTTTCAGTTTCAAAGTCAATTTAGTGACATGATTAACTGCAAAATGGCACGAACCCAATGTTCCTGTACACAACACTCTGTTCAGTAACAACTCTTTTGCAGATCAATATCGGTATAAAGGCTAATGAAAAGGTTTACAATATTATTTCTTTAATTTCCAGGCAACAATCAACATGACATCCCGTCTCAAGTTTGCTTGCGACCAGGACAAGTCTGTCCTTCTGAACAACTTTGAGACTCGAGGCTGGGTTCAAGTTGGAGCGGATGATGACTGGAACTTTTACTGGTAAAAATAGATAGTGGATGTTTAGAAGCATAGCAGTGGTGCAAGGTTCCATGCACTAGTCACTGTTGTCTCCCTTCGTTGTGTGAGGATCCAGTGGCCATTCGACTACACTCCATATTCACCTAATGATGATCCTCATTGTGTCAGCAAGAGACTGAGTCTGCAGGTGTTTCAGGGTTCAACTTCATCATGCTTAGCTGTAACTATTTACAACCTGCTTGATTGTTCCCACATTAACATCACCAAGCTAGCATGCTGTGACACTGCTGAGGTAATTTGTTCAAAGCAGAGCTAAAACACAGAAAACTCACTAATTACAGTCGAGCACTGTTGTGTTGAACTCTGATAACTCGATATCTCAGTTGTCTCGATATAACATCTCGGTCCCTGCAAATTCTTTCATAATTTATCTAATGCTTTGTGAGATAAGCATCACACATCAGTCACCTGAAGTACTGGTTAGATTATCATGATGACTCATGTACTGAATTTATGTTTTTTGAAGAGAAAATGATTCAGATGTCAACCATTTTTACTCTCTGTGCTTAGAAAATGACAGCATTATGTACATCTTGGACATCTTCAGTATGATTGTATAAGTTATGTGTTTGTCAACAGGGCCAATGTACAGAACATCCGGAACATCTTCAGTGTGGACTGTGGGTACCGACTCACAGATGATCAGTAAGTGAGGCTATTGTTATGGGTCAGATGACAATAACATATGACTATTCAGAGACATAAACGAAAGAGGTGTAATAGTCCAAAATAATTTTTTAAGTTGATCACATCCACCCTTTGGCAGCTTTGTAGTAATATCCTTGGGGAATTCCTAGTTAGAACTGATCCTCAGCAATTATGTTGGTAAGAGGCCACCAGTTGAAATAGGTGGTCAGATCAAATACTTGGTTGATTGTGCGTGTACCTTGGTCACGCTGATCATGTTGGGTGTTGCTCACAGTATTAACCACTGTTTTCAGGGTGATCAACCACTTCCCCAACCACATGGAACTGACGAGGAAGGATCTGATGGTGAAGAATATCAAGCGATACCGCAAGGATGTGGAGAAGGAGGGGAGTCTCCTCGCCGAGAAGGATGAACTGGGGCGATTTACTCACTTGGGTACAACAATTAGCTGTCTGAACAATAGTCCATATGTTCTGTCTCGCTGTAAAATTAAGACTTTAAGAAAAATATTTTCATATGTTGGTTCAAAATGTGAAGTATGATAGTTCAACACATGCTGATTGAAATTGAGTCACATACAATACAATAGTTGTTCTGGTTGATAGTTAACAGTATTTGTTTAAACTAAACTTTTTAAGAATGGAAATTGTCTATTTCAGATTTCATCCCACAGACTTTCATGTTGCCTGCTGACTACAACCTTTTTGTGGAGGAGTTCAGGAAGAACCCTAACACGACATGGATCATGAAACCCTGTGGGAAAGGTGGGTATACCACAAAGACAGATTACATACAAGGAGTGTGTGCATCACTTTCCCCCAAATTATACAATCTAGTAAAATGACAAGCTATTCTTGTCTTTAATACTTACAACAGCATTTTCAAGCATAATAAGTGTACAAGTTCGTAAAGTGTAGAAGTATCTTCCGCTTGTTCAACAACCTGCATGTATTTGTGTTTTAGCCTGGTCAACAACCTGCCTGTATTTGTGTTGTAGCCTGTCCAACAATCTGTCTGTGTTTGTATTGTAGCCCGAGGTATCGGTATCTTCCTGGTCAACAAGCTCTCTCAGCTGAAGAAATGGTCAAGAGATGGCAAAACTACATCGTGAGTTTGAATCGAAACATTGACACCATTTTCAGTTGACCTTAAACTTTGTATTTAACTCCCCAATCTCCTTTCATTGCCTTTTCTGTTCAGGTTCATAGTAGTTTTGACAGTGGGGTGGTTGAGCTGTGAAAGTTTTCTTTCCAAATGCGTGATGTATTTAACTTATAGGTGTCCCCAAGTGACAGTGATAAAATATTGCTTAAAAGGGATGTAAACCTTCACTAGCTCACTGAAACCAGGAGTGTTCTGTTATATCCTGTAACATTAAAGAACCATTAGTTTCTCTATGTTATATATGTTGATGCCATCAGTTACTTGTTTATTCACTTTTAAATCACTGGTTACAAATACAGTTGGATGATGGTTGACGTGTTGAGCACTCACAACTCTGTCCGTGTAATCGCAGGAACAGTCAGGGATGAGGGGCCAAGAGAACCAGAGCAGGTTCCTGAAATAGGATGCTAGCAGCATAAAGGGGAGAAGTGTCAGAGCACTGATTGGTCATGTTATTTTGGTTCTCCAGAAGGACTTATGGAAGAAAGTAATTTGCTGATGGTTGTTTTAAAGACACAAGGAATGACAAGAGAAAAGTCCACTCTACTAAAATAGCAGTGTCTGTACACAATGAATACACAATGCCATTCCTGAGAAAGTGTAATCTCCAATATAATATGTGTTACTCTAGACACAATAATCCATATAAACCACTGACTTCCAGGACAGTTCAGTAAGAAGTCTATGTGCTATCAGGTAATATTGACTGTAAGTTTAAGTATTTTCACACTGACCTGATTTGTAGGTTTACTCCGCCAACTGCAAAGGACACCTACGTGATATCAAAGTACATCGACAACCCTCTGCTGATTGGTGGGAAGAAGTTTGACCTGCGACTGTATGTGTTGGTGACTTCCTTCAGGCCTCTCAAGTGTTACATGTAAGTCATAGCAATGTAAGTCAGCTCACCATGGACTTTCACTGGTCTCACTCAACACTGTGAGCATGAGGGCCGGTGCAGTAGCCTAGTGGTTAAAGCGTTTGCTCATCTCGCCAAGACCCGGGTTCGAATCCCCACATGGGTAGAATGTGTGAAGCCAACTTCTGATGTCCCATGCCGTGATGGAATATTGCTAAAAGCAGCGTAAAATACTGTCACTCACTCACTCACTCTGAGCCTAATGACGATGTAAGAATCTACACGTCACTCTGTCATATGTCTCTGTATTAAAGTTATGTAGGTGTTATAATAACAACATGATAATAATAATGTGAATGGTGACTATAAACACCAATGATTAATTGTTGTGTTGAAGGTACAAGCTTGGCTTCTGTCGTTTCTGCACAGTCAAGTACAACGCCAACATCAATGAGCTGGACAACATGTTTGTACATCTGACCAATGTGTCAATACAAAAACAAGGGGTAGGTGATGCACATTGTGCATGTTCATGTTGGTGTTTGTATCTATTTCTGGAGGTCATTTTGTGTGGAAAATGAAATTTAAAACAATTAAGTACTGTCCAATGTATATATAAAAACAAAGGAATTTCATTTCATTAGATGATCACTATGAATGTTCTGATTGATGACTATGACTGATGTCTGCCGCTGTTCTCCACTCTCAGGAGGACTACAATGCCATCCATGGAGGGAAATGGACAGTGCAGAATCTCCGACTCTTCCTGGAGGGAACACGCGGTAAAGAGGTAAGCACCTTGATGAGAGAGTTGTCCAAGAGCAAGCTAACGGAGTATTCCTCTCTCTGAGTGGTCATGTGGGAGAAGGTGACAAAATTTGCCTGGTAACTGAATAAAAAGAAAAACTGTAATGTAATGATAATAATAATAATGAGTGCATTTATAATGCGCTAAACCTCATTCACTTGGTGGATGCTCATAGCACTAACAGTCTGACTATTATTACCCCGGATAACACAACCTGCCAGTGAGGCACTTGGTTACTAGTCACATGACTTATCCCACCGGGTACCCATTTTCTGCAGGGTGAACAGAGGCAGTTTTGAAAAAACTCATTTGCCTAAGATGAGACCACATGTATGACATGTGCACGGTCACCCATGCAAGGATTGTCCGCGCCCAATGTTGCTTAACTTCACCTGATTGTGACCTGAGCTCAAGTCGTTCTGTTCCAGGTGTCGGACAAACTGTTTGATGAGATCCACTGGCAAACCGTTCACTCCCTGAAGGCTGTGTCTGTAAGATGAACCAATGATCGTACAACATGCATGTGATAAGTGTGCTGGAATAATTGCATGTGTCAAGCAGTGCAGTGTTCTTTCAATATAAGGTCGCCTTGACATTGTCAATATTTGTCACCACTGAACTAAAACAATCTTGGATGCCATAACATAGATATCTCTGATCGCAGCCACTATTTTTTAATATACATTTTTTACATGTTTTAGATGTTTTACAGATTGATTTCACAAACTTCATGAAAGTACAAACTATCAATTGACAATGTTTTGATGGCTTGTGCCGTTAGTGAGGTGACTGCTGAACGTGGAACCTTGTGCAAAGTATAATCTTTGTACCTATCAGAGCAGTTTGACCTGGATTTAAAGGAGTATGTGTGAAATGAATTATGATATTTTTCAGGGTGTGATATCAAATGATCGACATTGCTTTGAGTGCTATGGGTAAGTTCATATAGAACTGTTCCATTAATGAAAACAGATCTAGCTTAGAACAGCACTGGTACCTTGCTCCAGAGACATAGATTAATTTATCATCCCAAACTGTGTTCAACAGGAGATATTGCTTGTGTGAGATCAAACGGTATCTCCTAGTAGATTTTATACAATGCCCTGATGTCATCAATTACATGACTCCCAATGCTATGACATCAAAAACCTGATGACATCACAATGCTATGACGTCACAAGTCTAATGGCAGTACCATGTTCAGAGAGGTACATTTTTCATTGAAAATAATGAAGAGTGATTTTTTATGATAAATAGAATCTCACCCGAGTGTCTGATATCCAATATATCAACACTTGTTGATAAAAGTAAAAATTTGTAACTTTATCAACTCATGGTGATGTATTTGATATCAAGACACTCGGGTGAGATTCTCTGTGTATAACCCATATTCTGACCCATGAAGATCCGGGTTAGAATTGATCTTCAGTAACCCATGCTTGTCGTAAGAGGCATCTAACGGGATCGATGCTCACGGTGTTGATCACTGGATTGTATGGTCCAGTCTCAATTATTTACAGACCAGCCCCTTATATCTGGAATATTGCTGAGTGCGGCGTAAAACTAAACTTACTGACTTACGCATATTCTGAGAACACTATGACACATTCCTTCCTATCTGTCGTTAGTCTCCTGTTCATACCTTGTACTGCTTCTTGTGAATACACTTACTCAGTCATTGTGAAAATCATTTTCAGGTATGACATCATTATTGACGATAATCTCAAGCCATGGCTTATTGAGGTGAGAGGTGATTTTGGCTTAAATATGTGTTTACATTCTCCCAGTGTGACAAATAAGGGCTCATTTATTAATATCAAATTAGCTGGGTAGTTTCATAGAATTTTCCCTCAGTTTTCTCCAGTCTTTATACAAACATGCATCAGATTGTCATGAAACTTTCTCAAGTATGTTAGTATCAGTGCGGAATGTAAGATAAGAAGATAACGAACAACTAGAGAACTTACTTGTCCCATGGTTCCAGCGCTACCCTGGATCTCATGTGGGGCAGTAGGGTAGCCCAGTGGTAAAAGCATTCGCTGGTCATGCCAAAAACCTGGGTTCGATTCCACACATGGGTACAATGGTGTCCCCTGTCATGATATTGCTGGAATATTGCTAAAAAGTAGAAACTAAAACTAAACATAAAACTAAACTCACTCACTGGATCTTGTGTAAAACTGTTTCACATTCTGAAGTCTGTAAATATATGGAGGGGATCAATTCCAAGATCTATGTGAATAAGTGAGTGAGTTTATTTTTGTACTGTTTTTAGCAGTATTCCAGCAATATCACGGCGGGGGACCAGAAATTCCAAGAACTTGTTGTTCTCTGACATGGGTACTGGGTAGTTACAGCACTGGCCCAGCTTCATGGCACCAGACCCCTGGAGTTCAGCTTGTTGCTAGCAAGCACTGACTGTGCCCTGTCACATTGATGTAGTAGCTGTTGTATCGCCCACTGTTGTGTGGCTCCAGACCCCTGGAGTTCAGCTTGTTGCTAGCAAGCACTGACTGTGCCCTGTCACATTGATGTAGTAGCTGTTGTATCGCCCACTGTTGTGTGGCACCAGATCCCTGGAGTTCAGCTTGTTGCTAGCAAGCACTGACTGTGCCCTATCACACTGATGTAGTAGCTGTTGTATCGCCCACTGTTGTGTGGCTCCAGACCCCTGGAGTTCAGCTTGTTGCTAGCAAGCACTGACTGTGCCCTATCACACTGATGTAGTAGCTGTTGTATCGCCCACTGTTGTGTGGCTCCAGACCCCTGGAGTTCAGCTTGTTGCTAGCAAGCACTGACTGTGTCCTGTCACATTGATGTAGTAGCTGTTGTATCGCCCACTGTTGTGTGGCACCAGATCCCTGGAGTTCAGCTTGTTGCTAGCAAGCACTGACTGTGTCCTGTCACATTGATGTAGTAGCTGTTGTATCGCCCACTGTTGTGTGGCTCCAGACCCCTGGAGTTTAGCTTGTTGCTAGCAAGCACTGACTGTGTCCTGTCACATTGATGTAGTAGCTGTTGTATCGCCCACTGTTGTGTGGCACCAGATCCCTGGAGTTCAGCTTGTTGCTAGCAAGCACTGACTGTGTCCTGTCACATTGATGTAGTAGCTGTTGTATCGCCCACTGTTGTGTGGCTCCAGACCCCTGAGTTTAGCTTGTTGCTAGCAAGCACTGACTGTGTCCTGTCACATTGATGTAGTAGCTGTTGTATCGCCCACTGTTGTGTGGCACCAGATCCCTGGAGTTCAGCTTGTTGCTAGCAAGCACTGACTGTGTCCTGTCACATTGATGTAGTAGCTGTTGTATCGCCCACTGTTGTGTGGCTCCAGACCCCTGGAGTTCAGCTTGTTGCTAGCAAGCACTGACTGTGTCCTGTCACATTGATGTAGTAGCTGTTGTATCGCCCACTGTTGTGTGAAGCTACAATTACAAGGGCACATTATTGTAGCAGGAAACCATCATGATCATGTTTTTTCAAAATAATGAAATGCATCTTATCAAATGCTTATTTACTGAGTTCTGTACTATTATTGTAAAGGAAAAGTCAATGTCATCACAAATACATGTTGATATGTGAATGTCCACAAGTCAAAACATTGATTACACAACAGTCTCGTTTCCTGTTGACTGGGTTCTGTCCTATTGCGCAACTTAGTACAATAACCAGTCCAAACTTTTGAGACCAATTCATTCAACTGGATACATAAATATTAATCAGTATTATTTGATACATATAAGCACTTGTATATTGCAACACCACGCTCCTTCTAATCCTTGCAAACACATCGTGCAGTTTGCTCTGTCGTACAACGTGCTGTGACAAACGGAAATCGTGGAAATCTCAAAACGAGGCTCTGTCGCTAGAAAAGTTTGGCGGTCTGGTGCGGACTTGATATATATCAATCACATTGTGCGTTACAAAACTACACTGAATAAGCACAAAGGACACATATCAGGTGTAACCAGTGAGCCAGATGAATTGTGAATCATTTTACGACCTCATCAAACAGGGACAGTCTGTGACGTCTTAGTTGAGGTCATGCTGCCTACACCTTGCCATAAAATATAGAAATACGATGTTATTAAAGTTTAAAATGAAAATTAACTTGTAATACCATTTTGTCATGAAACAAGGAATTGGAATTCAGTATAACCATTGTTGTTTGTGGTGTCTCTTTTCACTTCACACGAGAAAATTCGGATCGGCTGAAAAGAAAGTCATTGTCTGAATTGGTTAATGAGACTCCTGTTTCGGTTTGTGTGTTTAAGGTGAACGCCTCTCCCTCCCTCACGGCCACCACCTCCAGTGACCGCATCATGAAGTATAAACTCATCTCCGACGTCATCAACATCGTCATCCCACCAGGAGAAGGCCCAGAGTAAGTCGACACACGCACGATTTAATGGTTACTATGTGTAACATAAGAAAACTTTCTCAATTAGTTCTTTTGTATTTGTCATCTACCTCCCCATGTGTGTCAACACAAGAAACTAAAGGAAGAACAAAGGCCTCTAATTCATTCAGGAATGAACATTTAACTTGTCATATTTTAAAGTCAGCAAATAATAAGTTAAGACATGGCCACTGAGGCCGTTTGGGATGCCCCTGTGTGGATAGTTTGTTTCTTGTGCATAGAATGACGTTTATGTTAGGTGTGTGAGACTGTCTGTAATTGTCTGTAATTGTGTTTGTTGAAACATGACATTTTCTAAACTGTAAAGAGTAAAATTGTTTAGGTTGTCACATAAAGCTTGTATATTAAACATGTGTTCAATTTGTGCAGTGTCCGATGGAGCAAGATACCCTCTAAGGAGCATTTGGGAAATTTTGAACTTTTGTAAGTGGCTTTCTTTTTCCTTTCATTACCATGTCCATTCCCATGCTGTAGGTATCATTATCAATGGACTGTTTCAACTGTATGATCCAGGAGGCTAGGGTAGGAGAGCACCACTAGTGGTACACGCAGTACCTAGCCAGGCCAAAAACATACATGACTGCCAATATGCTGGGATACAGGACACATTTTTACTTAGTAAATGAAAGTAATCTGTTTGATAAGACAACTGACATTGTCATTATGCAATATACAGAATACTTTCAGCTACCTGATTTGGTAGGATCCTGTTTGAAACTTTTCTAAGGGGTATATTTCAGGAGCTACTGCTATCTTCTTTTCCTGGAGTGTAATTCCGTATTTATCCAGATTATGATCCCTGGTCTGTTAACACTGAATATGTTTTCCTATAGGTCTTACAAGAGTAGCAAACATCTACAGCCAGGCAGTAAGCTGACACAGAAGTGAGATACATCGGAAGCCTTGTATCTCATCCCTTTGCTGTAGTATTGTACTGTCATATTGCCCTGACCTTGACATTGCAGATATGATGAGGATCTGGCCCAGGCTGACCTTCTGAACCAGGAAGTGAAGAGAATGGGGGGCTGCTGGGATAGGTCCTCGGGGTGCACGAGACAGAAGATCCACGCATGCAACCTGGAAATAACAACAATAAGATACCTGAGTAATGCCAATCAACAACATTCCTGAATAACAACATACTGCATAGCTCAATAATTCCACCTGTCCTGTGTGCACATCTCACAGTGTCCATCAAACTATGTGACACCATACATCTACACATGAGCTGGTGGCAAGGTCACATGAGTACAGATCTCAATATACTGACTGACTGACTGACTGATTGACTGAGTTTGGTTTTACGCCGCTTTAAGCAATATTCCAGCAACATCACGGCGGGGAACACCAGAAATGGGCTTCACAAATTGTACCCATGTGGGGATTCGAACCTGGGTCTTTGGCGTGACGAGCCAACGCTTTAACCACTAGGCTACCCCACCGCCCCAGATCTCAATATACTCATATGTAATACAGTTGTCCCTGCAGAAAGATAGTTTTTTGGAAATCAGTTAGATCTGCCTTTGATGTACATTCCCAGAATTGAGTCCATCCAATTTAATTTCAACACTGCTCATAGTACATTATATAGGTTAAAAAAAGTCACTGAAACGGTCTTAGAATCATGGCTGTCTCACAACTAGCAATATTCAGTAATCAAAAATGTTTCTTCACTCTGTTATGATAAATATCCTGGAACTATAGCTATGTTTTGTACTCTATTCCAAAATCATGCATTTCTAAACATGGCAACCCAGTGAGATTGCTGTCATGTCCAAGATGAATCTTCTGCTGAGGAAGTAATAAGAGACATGGAGATGTTACATCATTATCAAATAGAAATGGCTCCCGGGTATTGTTGTGTCATGGCGGTACAATACACCGGCAACATACTGAGAGTTGTCAGCAAGATTACACTTCATTTGCTTGTTGTCACACACATTATTCATTACTGTACACAACTTTGAAATGTTTAATCATGAAAGTTATGATGTAAATATTGCTGTATTTATTAATAAAAGTGAACTCTACTGTGTGTAGTGTACTGAATCGATTTGCTGATCTGACCGCTTATTACAATCTGGAGCTTGTTAGAAAAACACTTTAATTGTGCCGTACATACAAGCAGCAACGATTGATTCCAGTGCATCTGTGTGATACAATCAAAGAATATCCTGTCATTAACAGCATGTTTTGAAATCTTACAACACATTCCAGTCCCTGACACCAGTAATAGTTAGCCTGTTCTGAAACCATGGAAAGATCCACCCACGACCAGTTGCATTTACATTTAACCTCTATGAATTCATTTGTGAAAAAATGAAATTCCACGGTTCCAACCAACTGGTCGACAAGCACTCACAGCCCACGTGACCGGAAGTGGTCAATTAACGCATCTCCAGGTTGACGCTTGTCACTATATTGTACAGGCTGTTAATAAAGAGTCTCAATTGCTGCCCATTCACGCTGCCTTGGTTGTATAGGACTTCATTTTCCGAACTCAAAGTGACATCGTTTATACATATTTTATTCACAAAGTGAAAAGAATCGAAGACAGGTTGTTACCAAACGCTCTCCTGTGATATTTGCAATAACAAATGTCTGTGCAAGTAATAATTGGAAACAGACACAAAGGAAGATTGACTATTCAGAAGAAGACTTCAGGAATCATTTAATAAAGATTTACTTATATACTGATGTACACTTTTAAATATAATTTCTTTTTTTCAAGATGTACGTTGCGCATGGTGCATGGGTTAAGCATTCAAAATGCAGCAACACTTGAATCAGAATTCTACTTTGCAGTCCTGTCCTTGTTGCCTTATCAAACACTTTATTTATGTTTGTTTAGTAACCACATACATCCTTCCATTTCAAGATTCTGTTCTTTGCCCAACTAACATTTAGTACAGTTGGACACGTCCTTACATGTGACTACTGTGTATGATGTTATGAGTTAAATCAATGGTTACAAAACCGTCCTTTCAGTAGTCGCCAGTAGTGTTTAGTCTCTGAAATACAAAACACAGTCCTAGGGGTCACTGCCCTACCGGGAGTAGCCTGTATACCTGACCTAATAAATAAATAACATGGTGTCAACTGCGTGTTAACATTATAAATGCCATCATGGTAGTATTGTTAATTATCTGATTTACTCATCCTTTCTCAAGACGTTTGGCGTTGAGGCGTGAAAAGCAACATAACATGGTCGTCATTGTTTTCTTACAAGTGGTTTTGCCAAGAATTTGTCATCAAGTCCATGTTTTGCGTCTTTGACATTGTTTCGTCCAGAACGCAGCCAGTTGTAAATGTAATGAGTCGCGAGTTGAGGAGTCTGAGCGGGATGGCTGAAATTAGGAGCGATGTCGTGAATGATGTCTTCACTGTAACACTCACTAGCACTCTTTCGTTCGACCTGCCCTTCCTAAAACTGGTTGATATTGAAACTCATTTCAAGTCGGTGTATCAGATCCGACTACAACAGCTCCTCCATGGTCGGAGCATCTACAGCACGGGAACTGTCGGGGTCTCGGTCACCTGTAAGATGGTCAAGCTCCAAGAGTATTCCGCTTTAGGGAACCTTGCGGAAAGTGTGAAAAGGCAGTTATCTTGGTGGTGAAAGTACTACATGTACTAGTATTGACTTGTATTGCATCTCAGAGTTCAGAGTTATACTTGTGATGAGTTGTTTATAAAGTACTACATGTATTCTTTTGTATGGCATCTCTTAGTCCAAAATTATACTTATATGATATTCCAAATGCGACGGCTTCGTCTGTGTTCTTTTTTAGGATTTCGATTTCAATAAATAATTATTTTCAAGTAGTTGTTCATGTTTTTCTCAAGTGAAACAATTTGGTTCATATTGACATTATTACATATTTGATCTACCCGTTGTGGGTGGTCGAGGTGGGTGAGTGGAATGAGTTTAATACTGTTTGAACTTCATTTCAATCAGATCGTAGAATGTTTGGCAAATGATTGTGAAAAGGCCAAAGTTGCTTTATGTCATATTTCTAAGCTGTGGTAAAGATAAAGCTTACTTATTGATTTCAACCTCTTTGATATTTCAATGCAACTTGATGAACGTACCAGCATTTGTATTGAACTTGAAGAGATGAATAAATTGAAAACCGTGTCAACTTTATGAGTCCTAGACTTTCATCACGTTGGCTAAAGACTAGACTGACTGACCCAGTATAGGTAGCTTGGCGGGATTCGAACCTAAGACCAACGGAAAGAGGCACGACACATTGCACTACATGGCAAACCAGGGAATATACCATGGGGACAGTTTACTTCTACCGGCAGTAATGGCAGTACATCCCTCAGTTAAGTATGTCTTTTTCGAGTATGGTCTGAATTAGAACCTTCTGTTGGCAAGGACACTGTATGTATAATTGTGGTGACTTGAATTGTAATCCAGATATTCCTGGTAATCTGCTGCTTAATACCATCTACTTCTGTGTCATCGTTTGATATCATGACTATTATGGCTAAGAACGAAATACGTTTATTTTTAATTCTTCTAAAGTAACCTTCTCTTCAAGCCGACACCACGGAACAGGACAATCATCCATAAATCGTTTCCTTATGGTATAACATCCCTATCCAATACTGAATTGTTCATCATTTTTAGTACAAATTTCCCTCCTAGTAGCCGTGTACTTGCGTCATCAGCAGGGGACTTTATGTGTCCATTGTTGTGAACTTAACTTTCTTGTAATGAGATCCGTGAAAATTGAATGCATTATTGTGTGGAATGAATTGATTCATACCAATAATTATTAAAGATAAAGTCCGTAGTAAAGTCTCCTCGAATTAGGAGATAAACATCATGTGTTGGTCAATTTACTGGTGTTATTGAATATTTGAGGCAAGGAAATATTTCATTTGGAACCAACGGATCCACACGCTTTTTTCTGTCTGCACTTACTGACACCGAGTACGGGTACAGCAGTGAAGTGCCGTTTCGGCTGTTTCCTATGGTAGCATCTGGAACTGCTCATTTGAAATATCATTCCGACTTTACGTCACAATATATGATTTGAATGACGTAAGCACTGCTGCTACAATGCAATTGTGTACGATATTTGTGCGTTTTAATACACAACGAACAGTCTTGCAGGGAATCGAATACCATTCGATCATGTTCAACCAATCAGATTAAAGAACATAGTGACTTTTAGTTTACACTTTCTATGGAAGCGTGTTAGTGCCACCTTCTACAAATTATAATCTACGTGGCAGAAGCTTATTACACCATGCATGATATTATAATCGTGATATTGCGACGTTACATCCCAAGCTGGAAATCATTTATACATTATATATATATGACTTATTTCAATGTTGCATCTGATCAGTCAAATGGCTTTTTCTGTATTTTCACTCTTACTGAAATCATTTTTCAAATTGTCAAACTATCAGCGTTTATATAAATAAGTATATTCACTTAAAGCGCCATTTATTCGGAGGCAAGTCAAATTTGACACACTGCAGGCATCAAAAACGTGCTCTGGTATGGGTCACTTAGTGTGTTTATATAACCAACACAGAAACACATGTCTGATAAGGATACATTATTGCTATAATCAGAAACATCATGTCAGGAATTTCATAACTGGTATATACTTTTCAAATAAATATACTGTTAATTTTCCATAAAGAATTTACTGTACATGCTCTCACCAACGCAAAGAAGACCTCATATACAGAAAGAAATCATTATGAATTTAGGAGATCTGTCCTGAATTGGACCTCAGATGTCTGCAGTCACCAGCTGAGAGACTGAAGGCGCATGGCATATGATAGTATGTGGCAAGGATGTCATGTTTTGAACATACAGTGGGAAGCTGACTGACTGCTGAAAGGTTGTAATTGGCGGTTAAATAAAGTTATAGTCCCTCAATAAAGACATATCAAGTTTGAAATGTTTTCAGTTTCGGTCATTACCATTAAACCAGAGGCCTCATATAACAGATCGGGAATATTTGTTGACTCGAGAATATATGTCATGTGGTTACCAAAGCCGATAATTCGATAGTAAATGATACCTTTTCCAAAGATTACGTATATATATGTAAATGTCAACAGCATCTAACTCGATAAGAAAAACGTGGTGGTATGTGGTCATGTGCGGTCTTATCTATAGAGCCCAGGCTACAAATCAGTTGAAGTTAAGCAACGTTGGTCACAGAGAATATTTGGATTGGTGTTTGACAGCTTGATTCCTGTGGGTTTCTAAGAATTCAGTCCTGCCCCACAAGGAAGCATACGTGACACATGTTGAATTACCTTAGGCAGGCAAGTTTGCTCATGAATTGCCCCTGGTCACCCAGCAATGAATGGATACCTGTGGTATAGTCACATGACAGTTAACCTTCTAGCACCTCACAGACAGCTTGGGTTATCCATGGTAATAATGCTTTAGCGCTTTGAGCATGGACATGGATACCGGTGGTATAGTCATATGACAGTAAACCTTCTAGCACCTCACAGACAGCTTGGGTTATCCATGGTAATAATGCTTTAGCGCTTTGAGCATGGACATGGGTACCGGTGGTATAGTCATATGACAGTTAACCTTCTAGCACCTCACAGACAGCTTGGGTTATCCATGGTAATAATGCTTTAGCGCTTTGAGCATGGACATGGGTACCGGTGGTATAGTCATATGACAGTAAACCTTCTAGCACCTCACAGACAGCTTGGGTTATCCATGGTAATAATGCTTTAGCGCTTTGAGCATGGACATTGGTACCGGTGGTATAGTCATATGATAGTAAACCTTCTAGCACCTCACAGACAGCTTGGGTTATCCATGGTAATAATGCTTTAGCGGTTTGAGCATGGACATGGGTACCGGTGGTATAGTCATGTGACAGTTAACCTTCTAGCACCTCACAGACAGCTTGGGTTATCCATGGTAATAATGCTTTAGCGGTTTGAGCATGGACATGGGTACCGGTGGTATAGTCATATGACAGTTAACCTTCTAGCACCTCACAGACAGCTTGGGTTATCCACGGTAATAATGCTTTAGCGCTTTGAGCATGGACATGGGTACCGGTGGTATAGTCATATGACAGTTAACCTTCTAGCACCTCACAGACAGCTTGGGTTATCCATGGTAATAATGCTTTAGCGCTTTGAGCATGGACATGGGTACCGGTGGTATAGTCATATGACAGTAAACCTTCTAGCACCTCACAGACAGCTTGGGTTATCCATGGTAATAATGCTTTAGCGCTTTGAGCATGGACATGGGTACCGGTGGTATAGTCATATGACAGTAAACCTTCTAGCACCTCACAGACAGCTTGGGTTATCCATGGTAATAATGCTTTAGCGGTTTGAGCATGGACATGGGTACCGGTGGTATAGTCATGTGACAGTTAACCTTCTAGCACCTCACAGACAGCTTGGGTTATCCATGGTAATAATGCTTTAGCGCTTTGAGCATGGACATGGGTACCGGTGGTATAGTCATATGACAGTTAACCTCCTAGCACCTCACAGACAGCTTGGGTTATCCGTGGTAATAATGTTTTAGCGCTTTGAGCATGGACATGTGTGTGGAAACAGGCGTTTTAGAAACAGCCATTATATTATTGTAAAAAGAAGTATCAAATTATTTTTAGACTGTGACACTAATGCGTTTCTAGTTCATGTAAATCATGCTACACTGGAGTAGAAATTAACTTTAAGCAATATAGAAAACACACACACCTCTTCCTCCCTGACCCCCTAAATATACACAAGATAAGTTGATTGCATGTGGTTGTATAGTGGAGTTTCTCCGCCCTGGAGGAACGCACCTGTCACTGAAAAAGAACTTGACTTGTTGATTAAAGCATTGATATCCATCTTCTTCGTCCTTGCTGTGGAAATGTCCTCGCCTGTCACCACGAGTCTATCCTTGGCCTCGATTATTGTGGGGTTGACCTCTTTGGCGACCTTGCCTTTGTTGTCTCCCTTTGGTTTGAGATCTGCCTCGAGTGGTTTAGGCTCCATCCTCGGACGTTTCTGTTTCTCTGGCTGTAGAATTCGGTGTTCGAACGGAATGGACGGAAATGGTTTTGTCTTGGTCCCATCCGTATCCGATTTCCCCTCAGTTAATTCCTCTTCTTCTTTTAGACATTTTGTTCTATTGAGATGACTTTTAAAGCGAAGTCGGTACGAAATATTTGTTGAATTCTCTCTTGAACAATTCCAGAATTCTTCTGTTTACGGGAGTAAACTCAATTCATGTTTCATGTAGTCTGCTGAGAATTTTTTTCTGGGGAGACGTGTGGCTGCTTGTACTGGCCCAGACTGAAGCTGGTTTTATAGTGCTAGCTCACTGAGATATCATGCAGCAGTGAAGCATGCATACCCCTCTCAGACACATTATGCTGACTCCGAGCCGACCAGTCCTTGTTGTACCCATTAATGCCGAGCGCCAGGCAGGGAATATCAAGTACCATATATTAACGGCTTTTGGTATGACGCGGCCGGGGATCGAACCCGCGACCTTCCGCCCTCCGGGCGGATCAAGAGAAACCGATGTTAATTAGCAACGCTGCAGCAATGTAGCAAATACCTAGTACACCGGAAGTTCCCACTGTAGTTCCGCTTTTATAATAACTGATGTGGCATGAAAATCACGATGAAGATAGAAACACACATATTTACCTAGTTTTTTTGTGTCTATGGAAACTTGCACAAAACAAAACTCCCTTCCAGGAGATTGCATCTCAGATCATGTGTAGGTACAAAACGTACTGTCGAGTCGTCTTCATTAAGTAACGTGTGCCGACTGTTGCAGTTTTGATTACGGTTCAGTTAAGGGTAGTTGTTTATGGTTGTTTTTTAGTTCCTGGTCAAACTTTAGGCACCCACCTTTGTAGTGATTACAGTTGGTACTGATGTAGCTAGATCATGGCGATAGCGCCCTAATGTTTAAAACACGACAGTAACATGGTATCTGTGTCACACCCTAGGGGTACCTGTGTTAGTATTAATTACACATCTGTGAGGGATTAGCAGCTGCAACATCAGCATCAGTTTGGTGAAGTCTCTTCAGTCCCTAAGGTCATTTTAGTAATTAAATACCGGAGCGAAACCATCTGATAACATGTTCATCGGACTCAGGATGTTCCGTAGATATTGTTTGTCTCCTGTCATGTGGTGTCCTGAAATACCGCGACTGGTCAGTCCTTGACCACATCTTCGTCATGGTGACTACGATGGACGACGGTTGGTCATCTCGGACACTGGCTGCAGTGCTGACTGTGGTGTGTCTGGCTACAGTGGACTCTGGCTGTCCCCACACGGACCCCGGTCTGAAGAGATGGAGCGAGGCCAGCACGTGGGGAGGAACCAAGCCAACGGAAGGTCAACAGGTGACGAAAACCTAAGTATACCTACGGTTTAATGAGGATTCCATCCCCAAAGATGCTGGTGTAGAAGCAAAGTATTGTAATAGCTTAAATAGAGCAATGGTACACAGAAACAAACAATTAAGCATGAGACATTTCACATCAGGCCAACATCCCATTTCGAGATTGCTTTTATTGCATTTGAATTAAATCTATGGCTGATAATCTACCGTGCTCATCAGAAGTCGACATAAACAAACATTTCCTTTAAAATAGACCTTCAAATGATCCTCAAGCAAATAGCGTGTTCGCATTACATAGCAGTATTGGTCTAATATTTCTGTACAGAAATATCTCGTCCTACTTGAATTAAAGAGTGTTTGGACTAAAACCTTAAGCTATGTACGGTAGTTCTCTGTCAACTATATATTTATAGGTGAGCTTGACTTCCGGCATGCACGTGCTTTTGGACGAATCCACTCCGTCTCTGGGGTCCATCACGGTGGAATCTGGGGCCAGTCTAGTGTGGGACGACACGGCCGACATCACTCTCACCGTCAGCTACGTCCTGGTTAAGGGAGAGTTCCACGTCGGCAGCGACGATTGTAGATTCACCAAGAAAGGCAACGTCGTCCTTACAGGTACAGTATATTACCTCGCCAAGTAAACTGTAGCAGCAGATTCACCAAGAAACGCAACATCGTCCTTACAGGTACAGTATATTACCTCGCCAAGTAAACTGTAGTAGCAGATTCACCAAGAAACGCAACATCGTCCTTACAGGTACAGTATATTACCTCGCCAAGTACACTGTAGTAGCAGATTCACCAAGAAAGCCAACATCGTCCTTACAGGTACAGTATATTACCTCGCCAAGTACACTGTAGCAGCAGATTCACCAAGAAAGCCAACATCGTCCTTACAGGTACAGTATATTACCTCGCCAAGTAAACTGTAGCAGCAGATTCACCAAGAAACGCAACATCGTCCTTACAGGTACAGTATATTACCTCGCCAAGTAAACTGTAGTAGCAGATTCACCAAGAAAAACGCAACATCGTCCTTACAGGTACAGTATATTACCTCGCCAAGTACACTGTAGTAGCAGATTCACCAAGAAAGCCAACATCGTCCTTACAGGTACAGTATATTACCTCGCCAAGTAAACTGTAGTAGCAGATTCACCAAGAAAGCCAACATCGCCCCTAAGGGAAATCTTTGACAGCAGGTTACCAACAGAATGAACATTGGTATATTCCCAGACACAAAGTCAGACCAGTAGCTTACATACACAGTTCTTACTGAATGCCCAGTATCAATAGTTTAACAATCTTATCACAGGCCTCAGCAACTCGACATTGAACGTTCCTGGTTTCGGCCGGAAGTTCATCGGTGTGACGGCAGGGGGCGTTCTGGAGCTTCACGGCAGAGAGAAGACGTCATTGACGAAGCTGGCGACCTCCATCCCTGCTGCAGATCAGACGTGTTGAGTTGTCTACAATCACGAGGTAAGGTGCAAGGACAGAGGAAATGTCCTTCCTTTGAAGTCTTGAAGTGAGTGTCAGTGAATGACGGTAGACATAGAACTAGTGACGGAACGTATTAGAAAATACAGATTATAGTTTCAAATGTTTGGCAACCTGTCAGCCATCTCCTGTCTGCCACAGAACATATCCAAATAGCTGAAAACGTCCATGTAACACGCGAAGGAATGTTTCAAACTTGAGGTGGATGTGGCTCGAGTGGAACTAGAACATACTTTGCATTGGTTTAGATTACACATTTACTGGTATATATTATGTAATTATAACAATATTGTCCTTGTACATATGAACTTGCAATAGTAAAATTTACACTCCATAACATGCTGAAGTCATTTTGTTGGTGCTTTTATGGTGCATCATCATAGTAGTGTCAGTTCGTGTTACATGTCGTAATGATCATCTACAGAACACGCCCTATCATGTTGAGAGTGGAATGGGGCTCCACGTGGTGGTTTGGAACCTGGACGGAAGTCTCTACGACTTCGGCACGTTCTTCACTGGAGAGACCTGGGACACTGAAGCTGATAGTTTGTTTGTGGAGTTTCTCAGAAGTAAGTGGCCACCGTTCTTTAGACATTCACTATGGCATGTTTGCTTCATGCAGTTTAATGATCCAACGCAAACGTTCAGTTTTTACGGGTAACTCAATTTGCAACTACTTCAAAACAAGAGTAAGTGAGTGAGTTTGGTTTTACGCCGCTTGTAGCAATATTCCAGCAAGATCAGGGCGGGGGATACCAGAAATGGGCTTCACACGTCTTACCCATGTGGGGAATCGAACCTGGGCGTTCGGCGTGACTAGCGAACGCTTAAACCACTAGACTATCCCACCGCCCCTTTCAAAACAAGAAGAAGAGATGGTGTGGTTGTTGAGCAGTAAATTCTTTGAGCGTTACACCGAGCTTAAATTCTACACATCCGTGAAGTGTGTGAAGCGTGCACAGGAACATGCATTGGTATGAATTATTGGATGTCATGACCAGTTGTTTTGACTACCCCTGTTCCTTGACCAGTTGTTTTGACTACCCCTGTGACATGTGTTTTCCAGTTATCCCCACTGGTAAAGTTGTTGCCATCAGTGTTATGCGTAAACTGGGCATTGAAGCAAGACCAGGTTGGGACTGGGAGTCTATATTTTCTGCTGTTGAGACCCTGGGTGGACTGACACAGACACAGATGAAGAACGTCTCAGACACAGACGCGTATGCCTTCATCACTGTGACAGGTATGAGTGGTGTGATTGACGAAGGTCCATATAGTGAGTGAGTATGGTTTTACACCGCTTTTAGCAATATTCCAGCAATATCACGGCGGGGGACACCACATATGGGCTTCACACATTGCACCCAAGTGGAGAATAGAACCCGGATCTTCGGTGTGATGAGGGGACGCTTTGGCCACTAAGCTACCCCACCGCCCCAGGTCCTCCATATAAGGTGTATATTACCGAGAGCTCTATTCTTCAGGATATGTTCACAGAATTACTGCAGCACACTAAATACAACTCGCACGACTATCGCAGAGATGCGAAGCTCTACGATTTTATCGTAGTCGCTACGAACTTTAGCCTCAAACTACGCCAGTACGATTGCATTAGAAATTCTACGAACTTTGAAGAAAAATTCATTAAAATTCGGATATATAGACAAAAACATATATTTTCGTCGATTAAATACATTTTCGGACTTCACTTACCTTCCATTCATCAAATTCAATGACATATTTGAACTGGAATCATTGCAAGTAACAAACGTAATCTGAAGCTGATTTCAATTTGCGATTTGACCCACTTATTGTGAAAATGACGATCCTATCGGAATGATTTAACCACGTGACCGTTCCTTCCGTTCGATTATACGAAATCGGTATGTGAAATTAAAGCTTCATTATTTAATATTATTTAGAGGACTACTAATTTTATGGTCAAACTACTATTTTTGATCCTTGACATCACTATTTGCAACACTTTGGGGTTGGCATCTCTTCTATCGATGTGCTTGTTATATCTTTTTTAAAATATTCATAAAACCTCCATGGAGGTAAGTGAAAGACAGACAGGCATACAGACACACACAGAAACAAACACAACAGAGAGAGAAGGGGGGGGAGAGACTGCACAAATGTGACAGTATGTTAAATTGGTTCAAACTGTAAAGTAAAATATGATATAATCGTACTGTTTAGGAAACAATGACGTCACAATGGAACAGCACATGCCTCTGGAAGGTAATGCGAAGTACACAATCACTGATGACGTTCACGTCACTCTCTGGGGAAGTAAACTCAAGTTCTATGCTGAAAGTGCTGTCAGGATAGTGAACGACCATAAACTCCCTCATGACGTCAACTTCCGGGTCACGTCAACTGATATCGCCTACCCAAAGATTGACGTCATCAATGACGTATCTACATGGCAACCAGGTAAACAAGTAAAAAGCAAATGAAATCGATACTAATATGACAGTATTGAAAGTTTACTTTTGTAGTTTCTAGGTGCCCGTACGAATTCGATTAGATTTGGCTAATTAAACGTTTACATCGCACACTATAAATATTCAAGTGCAACTATACAACTTTGAAAGACGGGCTTGAAGCCTCTCCTCAATACAACCCTACTTCCTTCTTTCGTGCAACCAAGTATTCATTAACTGTACCTCTTCAGGTGATCATGTTCTGTTCACCTATGCATATATTGACTGTTTCTCTTCAGGTGATCATGTTCTGTTCACCTATGCATATATTGACTGTACCTCTTCAGGTGATCATGTTCTGTTCACCTATGCATATATTGACTGTTTCTCTTCAGGTGATCATGTTCTGTTCACCTATGCATATATTGACTGTTTCTCTTCAGGTGATCATGTTCTGTTCACCTATGCATATACTGACTGTTTCTCTTCAGGTGATCATGTTCTGTTCACCTATGCATATATTGACTGTTTCTCTTCAGGTGATCATGTTCTGTTCACCCATATATTGATGTTTCTCTTCATGATATGTTCTGACTGTTTTTCTCTTCAGGTGATCATGTTCTGTTCACCTATGCATATATTGACTGTTTCTCTTCAGGTGATCATGTTCTGTTCACCTATGCATATATTGACTGTTTCTCTTCAGGTGATCATGTTCTGTTATGTTGACTGTTTCTCTTCATATGCATATATTGACTGTTTCTCTTCAGGTGATCATGTTCTGTTCACCTATGCATATATTGACTGTTTCTCTTCAGGTGATCATGTTCTGTTCATATGCATATATTGACTGTTTCTCTTCATGGTGATCATGTTCTGTTCACCTATGCATATACTGACTGTTTCTCTTCAGGTGATCATGTTCTGTTCACCTATGCATATCATGTTCTGTTCACTGTTTCTCTTCAGGTGGTGTTCTGTTCACCTATGCATATATACTGACTGTTTCTCTTCAGGTGATCATGTTCTCTTCATGCATATACTGACTGATCATGTTCTGTTCACCTATGTACTGACTCTTCAGGTGATCATGTTCTGTTCACCTATGAATACATTCACTGTACCTCTTCAGGTGATCATGTTCTGTTGATCGTGTTCTTCAGTTGATCATGTTCTGTTCACCTATGAATACGTCTACGGACTTTGACTGGAAACAGGCGGAAGAGTTTGAAGTGTTTCCTTGTGACGACTGCGCCAACAACCAGTTCCGGGTTAAAGGTCGGTTTGAGAGCTACATATATGACTCGAATATATAAAGTTTATATTCATACAGATATCGTATTTTAGTTTTGACATTGTGGTCCCAGAAAACAACCTTCATAAGTCAAAATGGATTTCAAGATGCCTTCTTCGTCTTTGCAAATTTATCGTTATACACACATACATGTACGTCTCGAATCATGTTGGAGGAGTGAGTGAGTGAGTTTAGTTTTACGCCGCACTCAGCAATATGCCAGCTGTATGGCGGCGGTCTGTAAATAATCGAGTCTGGACCAGATAATCCAGTGATCAACAGCATGAGCATCGATCTACGCAACTGGGAGACGATGGCACGTGTCAACCAAGTCAGCGAGCCTGACCACCCGATCTCGTTACTAGCCCCTTACGACAATCATGGGTTACTGAAAATCAATTCTAACCCGGATCTTCACGGGTCTCATGTTGGAAGAATATGCTTTGGATGTCTGTACTGTCGAAAAGTATGTATGACCAGGTTACTTCTTGCAGGAGAATTCAAGTTCCCCACTACGGCAAGGTGTATGACGGAGTGGACATGAGAGGTGAAGTGGCACTGCTTTCACGTGACTTCGTCATCGAAGGTCAGATGGAGACCGAATGTTACGTCACAGAAACAAACAGGGAAAAAGAAGAATGGCTTTGTTCTCTCTTTGACTTCGACCATTTCGGTGGACATCTGAAGGTAAGGCACTTTATTCATCGTGGTCTTTAGCGTCCACGATATGCACATAGTATCAGTGTGATAACGTCAATATATATGGCTTGTATGACGTAACTAATGTGCAGTTTGTGCTGAATTTGAAATATATATACTGAGGTGAATCGCGTTTATTTAAGCAGTCTGTAGCCTCCCTAGTACTGGAAAGCATTTCAGTTGTGGAAATATGCCCGGAACTGATCTGAGGAAACCTTGCGGCGGGTTAACGACCATTATCAAACAGGAGGGGAATGTTTGGCAAAGAGTTATCTGCCTTCCCTAACTGACGTATTGCTGCGTTGTAAATATACTGAGGGAAATAAATAAAGGATCATAGGAAACTTCAAACGTTGCTTTATTATTTTCCAGTTTTCATCACCACAGCGCTATTCAAAGCTGGTGATGAAAACTGGAAAATATTAAAGGAACGCTTGAATTTTCTTGTGATCCCTTATTTGTTTCTCTCAGTATATATACAGCAAACTCACTTCATTCTCAACACATATAAAACCGCTATAAACACGAGTCTCTTTTAAACTTATGTGATTACATTGCTAAATATATGTCCTTGCTATCAGTGCCACATCGTGATAACATACAAGACGTACAAGTTGACACAGCGGTAAGTACAGTAAGAAAAAAAAAACAATTGATAGTATGTCCATTTATTTACAGGTGACCAACGGTTTCACGTCAGTTCACATCCACTGAGTTCTACCACATGGGGCAACAGGAGTTCACAGGTTACAGTTGTCATAGACATCATTACATATCATAATATAATATATGTTATATTGGGGGTCCAGAACGACGCCATGTAATACCGTTTATGCTGTTACTTGGACTTTTTTACCTATACTGGGATGTTTTATGAACTGTACCACTGACATTGCTCGATACAATCGCAACTATAACATGATCAGAAACATCTGGTAAATTGTAGGCTCCTACCCCATACACTTCCACATGTGCGATGACGTCAACGGCACCTGGGTCCGCAGCAACTCCGTCCACCACAGCCTGGCCAGATGTGTCACTATCCACGGCACAGACGGACTCGAGGTACACTTTTATGTTTTCTCACTTTATTCGTCAATCAATTCTAACAGTTTCTCCTGTTGAAGTTCGCTAATGTAACATCATTTACCGGAAGTTGGACCCTGTTACAATACAGCCACTAGGTAATAAATGTGTATACACTTATAGTCTACATGTTGCCTGACGTGTGTGTAGTCTGAATGTTGCCTAAATTGTGGACTCTTCTTTGAATGTGGCACGGATGGATCAAATATTCTGTTATCGTCACACAGGTGAGCGATAACGCCTGCTACGACCATCTTGGCCACGGCTACTTCCTGGAAGACAGTGTGGAGCAATACAATATTCTGGACGGGAACATCGTAATCGGAACGAAACACGGCACTCACATAATGACGGATATGAAAAACAGCTGGTGCAGCAAAACCCTGGCCTCGAAGTGCAAGTAAGTCATGTATGGTTACTCCTATCGAACTCTTACTGATAAAGTATAACCTAAAATAGACGGAATTTCCTTTCTGAAACATTTACAAGTAAGTCATAAAAAACGCATAGATTCTGGTCAAATATATTTTTTTTCTACATTCATTATTTAGAATATGTACCAGCTCTTACAGAATGCACAACCAACAATCAAAACGTACACCCCATAAATAGAATATGTACAACCAGTAAATGGAGCATGTACAAACAAAATATGTACAACCAATAAACAGAACATGTACAACCTGAAAACAGAATAATCAATACATACATGATACAATGAAAAAACAGAGCATGTACAATCAACATACATGACATGTCGAAAATGGTCAATGGAATTGGCGTGAAAGCATCACTTCTTTCATTGGGGTAAGCCAGCTAATATGGGGAGTATATTCCACTGCTAAATGAGTTACACTCCTACAAGCATATTATAAACGTCGAGGATAGTGGTTAAGGCGTTCGCTCTTCACGCTGAAGACCCGGGTTCGACCCCACATTTGCACAATATGTGAAGCCCATTTCTGGTGTCCCCCGCCGTGATATTGCTGGAATATTGCTGAAAGCGGCGTAAAAGCAAACTAACTAACTCACTCACTCAAACATCGATACGGTCGAAGCTGGTATAGAGTGACGGGCGGTCATGCCATCGTGGTTATCCCTATCCACCATGTCGGTGATGTCTGTGATGTTAACGCTGTTGCAGTTCTCTGTCCACGTTCTGGATCACCCACTTCAACAACTACGTCAGAAACAACGTGGCCGCCGGCTCTGACGTAAGTAACACGGCATGGCATTGTCTTGTCCCGAATGAGAAAAGCACGGAATAGTCCATAGGGAACCTGCGACACGAACTTCCAACCAGCATAAATAACATACCCCACAGACCTCATCGGTCAAGTTTGACGACATGACACTATTTGATAATATCAACTGTGTTCTTACAAAATAAAGGATATTTTTGGAGTATTTCACAAGCGTACCAGGTATATTAAAACAGCAAGTCATAACACGATATCAGGCACTGAATGCAAAGTATATTATTTAATCTGTATTAAACGTAACATTTACACGATATCCGGGTTTTACATTTGCCGAAAGGTCACACCACCATAAGACTGAAAAGTAACATCAACACGTTTTGACGTGCATACTTTATCCATAAAATGGGAAGTTAAATGAGATGTGACTAACAGATATCACTTCCCCCGGAATCTTATTTCACACACCTTTATAATCACATTTCAAAGATGTGACAATTGATCAATGATAAGTTAGGTATAAAAACGAACGTTGTTTATGTCCTGTCTCGTTAACATTAATCGCCATTTTCTCGTCTAGTTGTTCGAGGCAGTTTTTAACAGACTTTGCTCATCAGTTGGTGATATTTTTCAGTCTATTACTAGTAACCAGGCTACAAAAGAAGCTGCTATATAGCGTTTTGACCATTCACACGGGCATGTCCCCTCTTCTTTTCACGATCTATTACCGGGTTGTTGGTTGTTATATAGCTGTCAGTGGAAAGATCAGATATGCTTATTGAAACTCTGTATACATCTTTCGGGGTATGTCACAGCGACGATCATTCAGACTGACTCCCACTCTCTGACAGTATACCCCACTGTTCAGAAGACAATATCTTTAACAGGAGTTAAAGCATATCGATATTAATCGATATGTTTCCCCAGAACGCTGGTTTCTGGTTCAACTACGCCGACCGCCCACTCGGACCATCAGCTGCCCGTCAAGCAGAGAAGTTGGCCAACAACCAGCCAGGTGTCACAGAGTTCCAGACCAGACACACCCCCATCCTGGAGTTTGACAACAACGTGGCTCACTCTAACTATGAGGTGAGATTTTACGTCCTGCTTCAGCGAGTCCTGAGAACAGGAAATTGCTGTTGAAACGCGAACAGTCATGTACCAATCGTGAAGTTGCGCAGAACGTTGGTATCTCTCATCTTAAGGTTCTACATTATAAGTTGTTCTCTGGTCAGGAGGTGGGCATGGGTTGATGTACCTCCTATGTTTGTTTATGTTTCCTGAACCCGAAGGGCGTGGGAAACATAAGTATGCATAGAGGGTACATCAACCAATTGGTCCCGAGGGACCAGTGAACAACGTATTTATCTTACAGAACACCTAAAAGTTAACTTTGAACTGTTTGATGTATGATGACCAATAACACCAATGTAAGACAAACCATACTATAACTAATCATTTTCAATTTACAGAGAGGTCTGATGTTCGACAGCAAAATCTCATACGGCAAAATGTACCATAACACGTTCATCCCTGAAAACGCCAGATTCGGATCCAACGAGTACGATCCCAGAGAACCGAACACTCCAGAAGGAACACCCGTTACCACCACCATCAAGAGGTAACAGATATATACCACATAGAGGAGGGGATTTCTAAGGATCGGTTTTGTGGACTTAAGCGCTTTTAACTACTGTTCCACAAGACGCAATTTTAACCACCATGGAGTCACATAATCGCATTTATTCTACAAATTGTGTATTTGATTTTAAAATTAAAATATCACTCACCAACTTTAATTTGGTGAACAGAAATCTGTGTTATATTTTACCTGCTTCCATCTCTCCCACAGACTTACCGTGTACAAGAACCGTAAGGAGAATATCTGGCTGAGGGGAGCCAACACCATTCTGGTCAACTCCAGGTGAGACTGGTCAGGGGGCGTACTGATCCTTGAGAATATTCCAGTGTAAATGGTCCGGTTAGGAGGGGTATACGTTCGGGTGACCTGTAGAATATACAGTGCACCTTGGTTATAAATGCCACCCTGGATATCATGCCATGTTTTTGTCAGCCTGTATAATACTGTATAATACTGTATAAAGTCCTTTCCCCTGGTTATAATGCCAATTACACTGGCTGCATGTAGTATAATACCTTAATTGGTTAATTGACATGACTCATATTAATTGACCAAACTCATTAATGCTTTAAGTCGTCGTGTAATCACAGATAGGATAACACATGTGACAATACACTTCCTGCCACCTACAACAAGAAGTCACCTGCACTGGGATTAACCAGTCATTCAATGCTCATTACAGGAGACCTTGTTGATTGCACAGGTCCTCTAACTGTCCTACCTGGTTACAATGCCACCCTGGATATAATGCCATATTTTCTCCTGGACAAACGGTGCAATTATAACCAGGATATACTGTATACACTGCTCTCTAATGTAAATGTCAAACTGATATGTAACTATGTGTTTCTGTTAGTTTTCTTTCTTGGCTTGGAGATATGTTCCTGAGTGTTCTTTGTTGAAGTGACATGTATATAATGTCCTGTTCAAGTATTGCTGACTCCCAGCGCGGACTCGTCATGCCGCTGTCACAGAGCAACGGCGTCAATGAAGTCAAGAACTCGGTGTTTATTGGGATGTCGGACAACTTGGGCGTCGGCTATACGTACACCGATTGGAGCTTTACAGGGGAAGAGAAACCGGTTCACAAGTTCAGCAGATCGTTTCTGGGCTGGAGACCGTGAGTAGAAATTCATTATTTATATGTTTATCCTTTACATACAGATGGCGTAAGCGTATTCTTGAGAGCACGACGACGAAGTGGCAAATCGTTTTCTGTTGACAATCTGTCCTTGAGAATAATTAATATGCTAAAGAGTGGCTATTATCTGGATGGGCTACAATTCCGAGGTACCAAACTCTGGAACAGATGCTAGTCGCGCTATTACCCAAAGGATTAAAAGTGATATAATTGAGATCATCAGATGCCAGCTGTGATGCAAGACCACAATGACCATTGCAATTTCAGTATAATGGCCCCCGACCTATACCTAAAGATGTCACTCTGAATTCTACCTCATGCATCATCTTCTGTCTAACATGGAAATGGTCTTACACGAAATACCTTCTTTCATTCAGAGAGATTTTAATTCTTTATTTACATCAGCACTGATCCTCTGCAAGGATTCGTCTTCTACCACGGCCCGAGCTACGTCACCAACTGCTACTTCAACGACTTCTACCACTGGCACTGGAACACTACGTGGGACAACGTCTTCAACCTTCCTGGGTATCGAGCTGGAGGTGCACTTGGTTTCAGGAGAACAAACATGCCCGTGTTCAGCGCAAGGAGCACTGTGTCGGGTCTCAAGTTTGGATTCTGTGACCCGGTGGGTTGATGCTGGCAGTGTTCCCCAGATGCCTAAGGGAAACGTTAAACCATTCAATACCCAAGTTGGTTCCAGTCCCAGTATCCTCGCTAATACATTCTGAGTTCAATGAAAGTGTGTGTTTCGACTCAGCAGATACTTATCCTATAGTGGCATTTATTATTATTGTGATTATTCTGTAATCGTATGAGCCCACAGCCCGTGTCTATAATGCCATATACAAACTGTCTTATAGTCTGTTTCCTCTTCAGTGTGAAGGAAACAGCGTATTCGACGGCAACAACACCACCCCAGGATTTGAGAAGGACGGCGAGGGGAAACAGCAAGCATCGTTCCACGACGTTGACGGTAGCGTGACGGGTATGACCAACTCTCAGGTTGTTAAGAACAATCCGTTCTTTACCACACCAAAGTGTTCCTTTAGGGACAACTGGGGCATGGCCGTATGTCCTCACAAATATGTTCAGGTGAGGAGTAATGATTTAAACGCTATATACGCCATTTTGGTTTGGAAGAATTCAAAACCCATACAATTATGAAATGCACTTACACTCTATCAAATAGAATGTCTTCGGTGACGCCTTCTGCTAGAGCTGTGTTGGCTTTTCTCAATATGGCCCTGAAATTTTCATCATAGTTGATTCTACTGATCTATCAAGAGCGGAAGTGAAAGTAGTTATCTCCCTTTCGAATAAATGTTTTCAGAAATCCAGTACATTTTCTTAAAATCTACAATTAAATTTTCCAACACTTCGACTGCGAATTGAGAAAACAAACGTCTGATTTTAATTAAATCGGATTCATATACAGTTTTCATGTATGGCAACTGTGTTGAAATACGATCATAGGGTCATGCATACAAGATTTTCGTATTTATACACAAAGCTATTATTTGAAGGTGCACATGGCAATGTTCCAGTCATGCGGTAGTCTGATGTTATAGGTGTGTTCGTGGTTGTAGGTCATGATTAGAGGGTAGTCTGATGTTATAGGTGTGTTCGTGGTTGTGGGTCATGATTAGAGGGTAGTCTGATGTTATAGGTGTGTTCGTGGTTGTAGGTCATGATTAGAGGGTAGTCTGATGTTATAGGTGTGTTCGTGGTTGTAGGTCATGATTAGAGGGTAGTCTGATGTTATAGGTGTGTTCGTGGTTGTAGGTCATGATTAGAGGGTAGTCTGATGTTATAGGTGTGTTCGTGGTTGTAGGTCCTGAATAGAGGGTAGTCTGATGTTATAGGTGTGTTCGTGGTTGTAGGTCATCATTAGAAGCGATGTCTGGAACACTGCCGACAAACCTGTCACCTTGATCCGAGATGACGCCCATGAACACCCATTCTCAATGAACAGTGAGTTCCCTTTCTATATATTGTTCATAGCTATGCATGGTTTGTCGACGTACAACGAAATGGTATAATTAATCTTCATTGTTATTTCCTCAGAGAATCAGGGTCGAAGGTATCACTTCATAGTAAACAAGACCTACACCGTTCATTTCAACAACACGGTTCCTCAGCAGTTCAGCATGCAGGCGTTAAACATGGAAAGGTGAGATATATGTCTTGTATGTTACAGCTGGGGCGGGTCTTTAAAGTCAAGCACCATTTCCAGTACGCATATTCTCCAGATTTGCCACAGTAATTGTCAAGCATCTGCCTCAAAAGTAGCAAAGCGGCCTACAAAGACGTCCTTTCCTAGTCCCTCTGTTCATTATCACTATTCCGAACAAAAGTTGCATATTTTGGTGAGAAAGTATGGGGTGAATTTCTAATTCGCATTTGGAATAGCAAATACCTGAAATGTTTTACTTTTAGCAACATGTAAAATGATACTAGCGATGATCAGTGTGGCCGGAATCACTGAAAGCATATAGGTGATATAAGGGAAGTTATCATGCTCATCATGCATGTTGAATACTGGTTCTGAGTATGTCAGTCATATGTTTATTACCTGTTAGTTGCGTAACACCACACTAGCCAATAATCTATATGACCGCTACCTGGAATATTGATTGATATGGAGTAATGGTCCTCCCTTTCGTAGTACGATGACGAGCCTGACCATCTTATCTGTGTAGTCGCCCGTGTAACAAGCATCGTTGCCAATTCCACACTGTAATGAGTCGCAGAACACGATCCATAAAGTGAAATATATTGTCACCAATGAAAATATAATAAAAGAGAAATGTGGCATAGATATCCAAGATAACATACCAACATTGATTATTACTAAATATAATGTTCATATATTTCTGCGCAGCTAAGCAGAAATTGACTTATAAGTATACCTTTTGCCAGCTATTGATATCATTCCTTGCTTTTTGGATTTTCAACGGAGACGTTATTCGTGTCGGCGTATGCATGCCTAAAGACATGACGACATTTCAGCTGTCCAGCTGGTACCCTTCCTACAATTCCCGGAGGCCACCGCGAGAGGTCGCCACTATACAGGAACTGGATGCTGACACTTCCGGTGCGGCGTACTTCTGGGACAAGAAAGTTGGGTATGAACTACTTTCTGACGAGTTGTCATTGTCAGCGAATTGCCCAGACCTTCGGGACATGATAGGGAGTCGGGTAACGTAAACACTAGACCCTCATGAAAAATACTTAATAGATGTATACAGTACAGTAACCGCCCTTTGATCTTTAATCATATATATGTCTCTGTATCGCAGCATGGTCTTCATCAAGCTGATGTCAAATGAGACTCGAACTGAGAGGCAGATGATGTGCCCAAATGGAAAATGTCCAAACTTCAACCTAGTGAGAAAAGACGGAAGCAACACTGCAGACTGTCGGCAATCAGCCAATGGCCCTTACGTCAGACAAGCAGAGGTACTGAATGTACGCTGAATATATATTGATGTAAAGTTACTCTGGTTCTAGTTAAGTATCATCCATGTTCGGAGATAACAGGTTTATAATTATATTTTTCACAATTGCTACTAACATGGCTGATCTGTAATGTGTAAATCTCTGTCCAGGAAGCCACAGTGGAGACCACAGCGCCCTCTTGTGTCAAGGCATCATCACAGGTAGGTAACCCTGTAATGGTTGACAACTGTAACGGACCCATATGTAAATCCCACTGAATGAGTGAGTGTGTGGGCGTCGCTTTAAAGATCTATCAGAATAATATCATATCGTTACAACATAGTGCCACACACATATAGGTTGACCATGTTTAACCATCTTGAATAAAGTAATGCCAGACCAGTGATCTATATTATGGCGAGTCTGGGATTCAAACCCCGATCCACAGATCCGTATATCTCGCAGTGCTTTGAGTTTCTAAGATATAAGGATCCTTCTTTGTTCAACTATGTGACTGTTTCAGTGGGTAGATGTTGTAGATGTTGATGGTCTGAATGTTGTACTGTTTTTTTCGTGTTAGTGTTGGTTTCTACCCAACAAAGGCACCATGCTGTATGTGGCTACGTTGTAGCTGTGAACATCCTTTGTCAACAGGGTTTTGGTGCCGGTGAGACTCGCCCAACGACTGTTCCACTGACCAGTGCCAGCGACGGAGATGACCAGTGTCCACAACATGCTGAACCAGGTAGCCTGACACACCCTCTCAGTTTGATAGGGTGCATTCCACCAAGTTTGACTGGGAAGTATGGGATGTTTTCTAAAACATCTAAAATTATATATCCAACAACTGTTACTTTGTTGGGAAAGTAGCTCTGATGTCCTGATATTTTCAACCTCATGCATGAGTTTATTATTTACTTTATGTCGCAGTATCGTAAGTATTGACGGACTCTAGGGATAGCAGGATCATATTGCCAGGCCTGTTATGTTCACACAAGCAGGTGAGTCTAGCTGGTCCCGCCCTGGCTATAATATAGCATGTAATATCCACTCGGGGTAAACCCTGGTGACATTGTGTCGTGGGTCAGGTATAACCTATGATACTGAACCGCTATGTGTTTCAGCACCTGAACCACTCACCAGTCAGTCTCGGGATGCGCTGTTGACAACTGGCGGAGGGACATGGATGACATGACCATGCAGCTCCACCAATCCATGACCAGGGGGTTCTGTGTCAAGAGATGTGGTCAGAACGGCTACAGATATGCTGGCCTGCAGAAAGGCAATGAATGTTGGTGTGGTAACAGCTTTGGTATTCACGGTTCTGGTGAGGGTTGTACCAAGGAGTGTAGCGCGAAAACAGGACGTTCTTGTGGGGGCGTCGCGAGGAATGAGGTGTTTGCCACTAGTGTAGGTAAGTGACATGAGTTCTTTAGCATATAACATACCCAGCTTGCAAAAGAATTAAATAGATCTCAATTATTAAACTTTGAGCTACATTAGGTACGAATCGACTGTAAAAGAAACAAATAAGCGCCATAAGAACAGACTCCCATGTGTAGCAGGACATAGTTTGACACACTGCATCTTCAACACAGCAAGTCTTCGTGTGTGCGTCCCTACTAATGCGGAGGCCGTAGACAACAGGGCCACACAGCAGCCCCCTCCCCGCCCCATTGGAAACATGTACATGTTAACCACAGTATCTTTACATTGGCGTCCCCAGAACGTAGCAGAACCTTACCAAGTTGTGGTCCGGGGTCACGTGGTGTAGTCATTGACGGAAGCTGTTACTATTTTGGAGATGATCTACTCAATTTTGTTAATGCTCAACGCGCATGCGTGAAGATGGGTGGTGACCTGGCAAGGATCTCCTCAGCAGCTGTGCAGGTTGGTTGGTTGGCTGGTTGGCTGGTTGGTTATTTAACGCCTCACTCAGCAATATTCCAGCTATATGGGGGCGGTCTCTAAATAATCGAGTCTGGACCAGACAATCCAGTGATCAACACCATGAGCATCGATCTATGCAAAGTTGTACAGGTACAAAAATTTTGAGTTTACCACATGGACGGCCAAATACGTACTTTCCAGTCTTCCGTGAGATGAAGCTTGAATCCTGGGCAGGTGACGTACCAATATCTTCTCACTGAACAGAAAGATCTATTTTATAGTTTCTTATCACAATAATGAAACTTATTCATTTTATCCTTTGGACTTTCTACTGAAATTCTGAAAGATGATTAATTAATGCAAATCTTTAATTTAAGGCTGAAATGAAAGCATACCTGGGTCAGAGCGAAACTAACGTCTGGATTGGTTTAACGGACGTTGCTAAAGAAGGAGAATTGGTCTTCATGGACAGCACACCGGCTACATACTTCAACGGGGACCTCAGATACGATAATTCCGGAATGAACCACGACTTTATTGGTAAGAAATCTGTGGTTTATCATTTAGGCAGCACTATTTTGTCTCAGCAGTTTGTATTTCCTCATGAGTAAAATACCAGCACCAGCAAACACAATCACGGTGATGATGATGATGATGATGATGATGATGATGATGTATGTGCTGCAGCTATGGACGTCTACCAAGGCTACGCGTGGGTTCACCGGATGTCACAGTACGAGTTCCGTTACATCTGCCAGACGCCAATCATCCCCACCTCATTACCTGGTACGTTCGATCTTACAATTAAACGTGGTGATCCGACTGAAAATGTTGTATGCTGTACTCATCTACTTTCGTTCGTCTTGCTTTTCTACATTTTCTGAAGCTAAAAATGTTGGAAAATATAATTTTACGCATGTAGAAATTGTGACATTATACGTTCCGATAAATCTCCAGTAGATTCACACCGTTTCACACGCAGTCAGACATGCAACTGCAAATTCACCTGCCTTTCAGTAGTTAGTGCAAGTTAAGCCACTGGTTGCTATAAGCAACAACTTCACGGTACATAAACCATGACATTCCAGATGACTATCTGATTTGATTCCATGATTTAGGTTCTTGGACGTATACACCTGCACATTATAGCGCCTCAGAAAGCTTCTCGACCTATGGCACTAGTTTTCAGAAAGACACTCATTATCGACAAATGTGAGAGCCTTTAGAAGTCGGATCATTGTCTAAATTAGAGTGACTATACACAAACAGCAAATCACAATCATTACAAACACAATTGATCCTTTTCCACCAGAGAGCTGCGGACCTAACGGTGACGGACACAGACTGGGCAGCAACGGCCGGTGCTACATCATCCTCAACACCAAGACTGACCACGACACAGCAGAGTACCAGTGTTTAACTCGCTAGGGAGTGCTTCCCACCGTCACAGATGACGCCATATTACAGGTTTGTACCAACATGCAGGACTGCGGTTCGTTTTTCGGTGTGTACGACCTTAAAAATCTGATTGACAGATAGTAGGCCTACTGGTGAAGTAAATGATGTATTTCAGCAATATATACAGTAGAGGCCATGTAGTGGAGGAAAGAAAACAAGTGATGGTGGCAGAGCTACAGATAACTTTTTGGGTCATTGAGTTATGTACTCGCTTGTGTTCATCTCAATTGGGTATCCTAATTTTCCTTTGAGTAACCAAATAAATTGTACCCACCTCACTCAAACTCAATTGGGTATTTTGCCGTTTTCCATTAAATTTGAAAATATAGTAAAGTTTAAATGTAAATGTTTGTTATATTTGATCTGTAATATGAGAAACGATAAGAAAGACTGCAAGTTGTCAAGTTCATGTGCTGAAATAGAACCTCTCAGTATACTTCAGTTAGTTTATCTATCCACTGGTACGCACGCTACGATTTGACATTTTTGTGTGTACGCATGTAGGATCACATTTATTGAGTATTTACTAAAATTCAAGCGTACTTGTACACAATAGACTAAATAGGAATTGAGTTTTAAAAACAAAATTGCGTAATTTACGCAGATACGCAGCTTATCTGTACCTCTGGATGGTGGTGCAAGTAACATTAACCATTAACATCGGATATTGTTACCTCCCACTCAAAGCTTAAGGATGCAGGTCCAAATATCACAGACGAAACTCAAAGTGCCTTTTGATTCTAAATGTTCATGGCAAAGTAATGAGTAAGTGTGAGTATGTTCAAACCCGGAAATATCTAGGTTAGAATTGGTCCTCTAAATCCTATGCTTGTCGTTAGACGGGAACGGGTGGGCAGGTTCGCTGTCTGATCGGGGTGGTGGGGTAGACTAGTGGTTAAAGCGTTTGCTCGTAACGCCGAGGACCCAGGTTCGATTCCAATCTGGTGTCCCCCGCCGTGATATTGCTGGAATATTGCTAAAAGCGGCGTAAAACTATACTCACTCACACTAACTTTCTGGTCACCGTGCATCAATTCTGTAGGTAGGTGTTCATGATGCCCATCACTGGTCTATGTTAACTACAGACTGTTGTTGTGGTGTTACACAACAAACAAACAAACTAAAATTAAGTACAAGGTCTTTAACGCCGCGGTGAGAACAGAATCAGGGTCAGGCAAACCAGCAGCTGAACGAATGATCACAGCATGGGACCAAGATACGTCCCACTACCTGTCCTCACAGTGACGTGACGTGACGTGACGTGTAACAGCGGTGTTGTGCGTGTTATGTTGTAACCAGGGTCGCCAGAGGATGAAAATCTCAGAAAGCCAACTGAAAGTCTGTTTTCTTTCAGCGGGAAATTCGTAACCAGTTGCTGACTTTTGGCAGCGACATGGACTACTGGACCGGAGAGTCGGGGGTCAGCCAAGCTGGAGAAGATAACTACTATAGTATGGACACTTAATGATAGACAAGTTAATAGCTGAATGTTTATAACAATATCCAGACACGACAAGAATTACACCTGAAAGTAACTTGTTGGACCAAACATATACTTTGGTTATGTTGCGGCAACATGTAAAGAATAGGGACAGTACTTCATGCCACCAAAAAGGCCGACGAGCCTGACCAATACTCCATCATCTCAGCAGCCCATGCTTGTCGTGATAGGCGTTAACGGGATCGGGTGGTCAGGCTCGCTGACTTGGTTGACACATGTCATCGTATCCCTATTGCATAGATCGATGCTCATGCTGGTCACTGGATTGTCTGGTCCAGATTCGATTATTTACAGACCGCCGCCATATAGCTGGAATATTGCTAAGTACAGCGTTAAAAAACAAACAAATAAACAAACCGTAGTCGTTTATTACAAGTGTCAGGACCTTACCCCCTTGCACAAAGCGATCTTAGCGGACTTCACGGTCTTAGCGCTCAGATCGCTTAGTGCGAGAGGATGTCAGAGTCAAATACGCTTATGTGTTCCAATCACATAACCCAGGTTGGGTCAGGTCAACTTTTTTCAGTAGTCATGTCCATATTAATGCTAAGTTAGTTTTCCTTGGTTTCGTCAGAGTTGACCTACACCTCCTTGTTCAGCAAAAGCGCTGCCAGTTCCAGCGAGAAGAATGGCGCCCTGTGCCTTATAGGTGGGTTTACATCTCTTCTGTATGTTTATTAATCCGTATACGTCACCCATTGGCTAGTTCGAATACTTTAAAAACTAATTAATTATCGGAAAAGAGATACTGTACTGTAAATTTAGGTAGCTATAATTGATATCACCTCTTGTTTGTTCCAGAGTCCGCCGCAACAGCCAGTAACTGTCCACCACGTAAGATAAACATGTTCATTGTCAATTTGAGACGATTTGATATCACATTTCAGTAAAGTTTTGAATATTATAATCAGATTGACAATTTAGTGCAGTTTCAAACTCTGCTAAATATTATATTTGAACCTGTTTACTATTGGCGACAGTTCTAATCAAGATGACGGTATTACTATAACTCCGATTCACCCAGTATAATCTATAACCTGTATGATCCCCTGTTTGGAAGGAACACAATGGCTTCTGCTACCTGTACACCGGCAAGACCGCGACTAGCTACGAATCTGTGGCCGCTCTGTGTAACCAGTAAGTCTTACTTTTAGGACCGTTCATAATTTATATGTGTGTGTGTGTGTGTGTGCGTGCGTGCGTGTGTGCGTGTGTGCGTGCGTGCGTGCGTGTGTGTGTGTGTTTGAATGATGATTTTATGGGGGGTCACCCATTTTGTTCTGGGGAGGTAGTGGGGGCATCAATATGTACACATGTTTCTAAGGGGGGTCAGCAATTTTGGACAT